TTGCTTTTTTCACAGGTTTGTTGGAAATAACAGGAAATATTGCTGGATTGATTTTTTTGCTGTAAAAATCAAACAGCAGTGAAACTTCTTCCGTGGTCTGGAATTTTCCTCTTTCATAATTGAAGGGTACATGAGTGAACAGCAACATGAATTGCTAAGGGCCAATCCCAAATACATAAAAAAAGAACATGTAGTTGCTGATAAATTAAAAAAAAACCCAGTGGAAGACAGATGAGAACAATTTGGATAAAAACAAATAATATGTTTATGATAAAATTATAATGAATATGGAAAGATGATCAAGCTCAGCTTTCTCAGACTAAAATATTATTAGCATCCCCCATTGTTTTCAATATTTCAGAATTATAATTCAATTAAAATTTGTTTAAAATGTATTTAATTTACAGAATGTCTAAAAACTTGATAGAAGAATAAATTGCTACAGAAAACCACTATAAAATAGGTGAGTGTATAAGAATATTTTCAATTCATTAAACCATTGTGCTAATATGTGATCTCATATTAATGTTGCAAGGTATTGTAGTTGGGAATACATTCCAAATACGTCCTACGATTTGCCTCTACAATATTTCTATTTAATCAGTATGAACATTACTCATATTTAACATAACTTGTAAATTATGTATTGTCTAATTTTTATTTTAATTTTTTGAAACGAGTGTTTACTAGACAACCATTTAAATGTACAGCGGAATATTTTCATTAGCTAGCTTTCCATGAGATTCATACATACCTAAAGCAAAGTTATTTTTGACTGTAAACCTTATACATACATACAATAGAATTTACTCCTGGACAGCACTGTTGAGGGGTTAAATACAGTTGAACATATTTCATAAAATCTGTAGCTTCTTTAATACATTATATGGATTGAATGGACAAGTTATAGTACAATAAATTTTTGCCAGTATTTGTTATACGACTTATAAAGAATACATTTTGAAACTATTAAGGTAGTCACATTCTAAAAATTAATTGTGACTAGGACAATTTTAACTAAACTAATTAATTCCACTAAACTATATTTGGTCACACATAATTGGACCTATAACCAAAATAGTGTCTTCAAGGTCTATATGCAGCCCTGAGATTCTGCCCTGTTGATTGATGATGTATTTTGATTCCAATTCCTAATTTCTTAATAAATTAACATACTAAAGTACAAGTCCTCAACTTACAACCATTTATTTAGTTACTGTTTGAAGTTACAATGGCACTGAAAAAAATACTTTGGTTTTCACTTATAACCGTTGAAGCATCCCTATGGTCACATGATCAAAATTCTGGCTCTTGACAACTGGTATTTATGACAGTTGCACTGTCCTAGGGTCATGTGATCACTATTTGTAACCTTCCCAGCTGACCTCTGACAAAATAAATAGGGGAAGCCAGATTCACTTAATAACTTCACGATTCACATAACAACTGCAATGATTTGCTTAGCAATTGTGGCAAAAAAGGTCATAAAATAGGACACAACTCACTTAACTGTCTTGCTTAGCAACAGAAATGTTGGGCTCCATTGTGATTGTAAGTTGAGGAGGACTATCTGTAGCAATTTCACTATCCATTCTGAATATTAAAAAAGCCAGTTTTATTTACTGTAATAATTGGATTTCTGCAAAAACACTTTGTTTTTACACTGTGTAGAATATTGTTTTCTGTTCCACTATGGATGTAAGGGAGGATTCATAACTCATATTCCTCAATTAGTGACCTGTCTGCTATTTCCTGAATTCTGAGAATCTGAATTTCAATGTCATGATGTGGAAATTCATACAAGAAAATTTGTTTCTGAATGTGGATAGCCTCTGAAAGTCTTGGAATTTGTTTAAAGTGAAAAACTAAGAAACTTACAGATTTAAATAACACATTAACCTTCTGTAGAAAAATGGATCTAACGCCTATTAAGCCTTAATACTTTATCAACCTCTTGAAAAGTTTTTGGTTAATGTGAACCAGTTTTTTAAAAATAGAAAAATTATACCTTACGTGGTTTTCCCAAGTGGTTTATTTGTTAGGTATGGAACTACAAGCATGTACATATCCATTTTATATCAACACTTTCACATTCTTTCCTCTATTCCTTATATTCTAACTTTTGTGTGATGTGTTTCCTTTCAGTAAAAATACACAGAGATACAGTACCATAAAATAATGGACAATAAATTGAAACAAGCTTGTTTCTGTGGAAATTTTTAGTACTGATATTTCACTTGTTTTGAAAAAGACCAGAGTGATGCAATATGAAACAGATCAAGGAAAGATGTGGCATAGGGGCACTTTGATGAAAGGAGGAAGACAAGGCAGCTTCTCAACAGAAGTACTTGAAAATCTCTTTCATGGTAATTTCATTTCATTGCTTTCAGACAATGGTGTAATAAAAGCACATTCTTATTCAGTACATTAATTAGTTTGTAATTTAATACTGATGGCTTAACAGACTAGCAAATTTCAAACCTATTTATGGCTACTGGAGATTATAAATTGATAATACTTTTAATATTCAAAGATTGCAGGCCTTGAAGTATTAGGAATCACAAGAATTTTTAGGTTGTTGTATGTATGAGTTTTTCTTGGGTAACAGCCATTTTAGGGAACAAAATAATGAACTTAATTAGTTCTTGATCTGATGTTAAAAGTTGGTGTGTATATTTTTACCTGCTGAATATAGGTAGAAAGTAAAGCATGGATTCACCAAATAATTTTTCTGCAAGATTTTGATAGCAAGCAATGAAAATAAGCTTTACTGCTTACTCTTGGTTGAAGAAATACACATGGTTTGCTACATAATAAAAACTTGTACTTTAAATGTTCTAAACTTCTCTCACCACACATAAAAAGCTGAAACTTAGTTTTCCTATATTCTAGGAAAATCCTGAATTTTTGCTAGACTATAGTATAGTAATCTATAGTATATTATAGTCTTTCCTCTTACTTGCAAATAAATGAAAATGCTGTTTCTATCAATATTTTTATAATACAAATCTCTAAAATGTGTTTAAAATTCAAAAAAATTGTTTAAAATTCCAAAAGCCAAAACCATTTTCTAAAAACAAAACAAAATCTGGTCTTCAACATCACTCAGTAGATATACACAAAGACAACTGGCCAAGGATCTAAAAATAGTAACTGTAGTAGTTATCGTAGGTGATGAAATAAAAGCTAATTTTCCCACTCAAATTGTGGGATTTAGCTTTAACTTGATAAGACTCATCTAAATTAAATCTTTCTGGAAAGAGAGGATAATCATTGGCAAATTTATTAAACAAGCCTTAAGTACTAATCCTAAAAATCCCAATGCATATATAGCCATTATTTCGCATGCCAAATTCTATGTCATATTATACATTTTTCTAAATGATGCTAAATTAGTGAGGTTTTTTTAAAAAAAATATTGTAAATGCTCACATGGATATTCAAAGTATGGCCATAAGTCCTTGAGATCTGATTACAGTACACATTAAATTAGAAAAAAACTATTAACTCTTAAGTACTGACATACTTTAGTGGTACAATTGGAATCTAATGTCCAGAATAATTCCGATGATGAACTGTTCAAATTCTTTTATAATTTGAATTATAAACTATTTTGTTGTTGTGAACTTAATTTAAAATGGGAAACCATTTATTTTCTAAATCTTTTAAAAATACAATATTGAAATTGCACAGGACATCTACAGAATTATTAGAAATTAGAATTAGTAATCTTTCAGATGCTCTTATTAAACTGAGAAAGAATATGGCCCAAATGTATATAAATATTACTATTTTTACTTTTTAAAATAATAACTTTTAAAAATGTTAAATCAGCATATTTAATACTAGACTGAATACTTTATTTGGCCAAGTGTGATTAGGCACACAAAGAATTTGTCTCCGGTTCAAATAAAAAAAGAGTAGCACTAAAAATCTTTAGCACTATAAAGGCTAAAAATAATTCAATTTTCCATTTAATTTTATATGTGTCAGTGCACAAATCTGTTTGCCTAACTGCCTGCCTATCTAGAATGCCATTGTTTGGAAGGGCATAAAATCTTAATGCTACAAATAGTGGATAACATAATTGAAACAGCCTTGAACTAGAGCCTTGGTAGTACAGTGGTCTAAGGCACCCTGTTATTAAGCTGGATATTAAGACCAGCTGCCTGCAATTACTGCAGGTTCGAATCTCGCCAAGGCTCAAGGTTGACTCAGCCTTCCATCCTTTCTAAGGTAGGTAAATTGAGGACCCAGTTGTGGGGGCAATAAGCTGACTTTGTATAAATATACAAAAGGATGAAGGCTATTGCTGAGCCCATTGTAAGCCGCCCTGAGTCTCCGGAGAAGGGCGGCATATAAATCAAATTTGAAAAAAAAGAAAAAAAAAAACCTCAAAAAAGTCCTAGTTGACAATTCCAATGAATAAAGACCGGCTTCACTTAGTATAAGGAATTTTCTATAGGAGCAAGACTTGACCAATCTGTTCAACAGTCAGGAAAGATTCCATGTGCAAATGCATTAATGGTATTCCTTGGCATTGAAAGAATTAGACAACCTGTGTTTGCATAGATCTCCATATGCACATCAGAACATTTAGAGAAGTGTGTATTATATAATTACATTAATAATTGTACATCTTATTAAGATTGAAAATATGAATTTTTGTATTTTGATACTAAATTATAACTTGAAATACTTAAGCTTCATGTTGTTTTTTTAAAAATATTTAATATACCGAAAGAGTTAACATACACATTTCTATTCACTAGTCACGCTTAAAATTCCAGTGTACTGTCAACTGGAATGAAGGCTTAAGTTGTGCAATAATTTCTGATGAATTGCATGAAAAAATACTTTTTTTTTTTTTACTTTTTCCAAATCGCCCTATATCATGGATATACTGTTGTTAAAAACTATATGCCAGGTCTGCCCACAATAAAATGAGTTTCTTCAAAAGGGAAATCAGGGAATAAATATATAATACAGTAGGACTCATAAAAAATCAGTGCAATATTTATTGGCAAAAATGTGTGACACCAATGTAAAAGAATAAAAATGTACAACTTAATCCTCTTCAAGGAATTCACCATCTAATTTTATAGCTTTGTTAACATCCAGCATATTGACATATAATCACAATTATGATAAACATAGTAATGACTTTTAGTCAACTGAGTTTTGATGCTAGGTTGTAATCCATAGATACAAAACAGCTACTCTTATTAACCAAATAGCCACTCTCTTGTTATAGCTATGATTAATTTACATTCCTCTGTTTTCAAAAGGATTTGGTATATCATTAATTGTTTGGTGCTACATATGCAAGCCATGTGCTTATTCCTTCCTCTCTTCTTTTCATGGCATCTTCTACTTAATGGGTTAATTCTGAGTTTTGGAAAATCATTTATGGCTGTTATATTAAGAGTATGATTTGTGCTTGCCCTATAAACCAGGATTTTAAGGAATTAGGATTTGATTGCTTGGCATTACATGTGAGCCAGCCCTGTAACTGGATTGAAATATGCATATTAAATCAGCATTACATCATTTTTCTTAAAAACAAAAATGTCAGTTGGAAAAAGCTTTAACTAAAAGTACCTGATAATTAAATCAGGTGCTTTTGGATGTCAGCTGTTCTAGGTTTATTTTTTTCATTGGATCTAGTATAGAGATGAGAAAGTATTTGGGGTGCACCAATTAGGCCAGGATAGTGGCAACCAAAGGTTCAGCTGATGATAATCTGATGAATCAGGCAAAAATGAAAATCTTTCAACTAGAAATTGGTTACTGTGACCTAGAAGCTTGAAGGACCATTTCCTCATTGTGGCTGAATCAGGACTTGGTGAAAGCGAGGTAAAAGAAATTATACCACCTTTTCTGAACCTATGTGTGCAACAAGTTGTGAGAATAAAGAAAACCACACCAAATTCAATCATCCTAGATTTGATTTTAAAGCAAACATTTAAATTCATGTTAAAACATTTTATGTAGGAACCACTAAAATGGATTATATCCTGTATGTTTATTACTTGATACCGAATCTATTTCTGGGATTTTAAATTTTTGTGTGTTTGTGTGAATGTGTATCTGTGTATGTACGCACACACACACACACACACACACACACACACACAGCTCCAGGCTATGAAATCAATTTTAATTTACTTATCATTTTTTTCAGTAACTTCTAGCAAAGTTTTCAGAATATTTCTAAAGAGACACAGGTAGGAATAAATTTGATTTTTTTCAGGAATATTTTTAAGTAGGATACAAAAGGAAGCTGATATTTTGATCACATATAATCCTTTTAAGAAGTCCATATATATATATATATCATGTTTTGTGAACTGTTTTCACTTGGCTTTTGGAGAAATTGCATTAAAAAATTCCCAAGGTGGGAATTAGAATCACGGCATTAAGGTTCATATAGGACTACACCACATAAAGTACATGTGGAACTTTAACATGTGAGAAATAAATCAATGACTGAAAATCAATGATCTATTTTAATTTTGTACTTCATATTGCCAAATTCTATAAATAATTTACTAGAACATACAGAAGAATCTAAACAAAAATACAATGTATAACTAGCATCGTCATTAGATATTATATGCACAGCATTCATAGTTATCATTTTATGTGGTGTATTGGAAATGAGTTACTGGAAAAATTAGGCACAGAGATTTTTACATGCATAAAATGAGTATCTGAAAAACTAAGGATTGGGGATAAGGAATCATATCCAAAACTGCCCTTCAATTCAGAGAAGACACTTTGTTCCAGCAGAAGTTCCCATTAACAAAAGGGAGAGAAAGGACCTGGTTCCCATTTTGTTTTCAATTCCCTGGAATACATTTTTGAAAGAGAAAGAATAGACAATCTCTTCCCTCATTGCATTCATGGAAGGTTTGGTTGAATCAAAAAGCTTTTCTGAAGAAAATAACTTCACTGGATACTATCTAGAATTATTGTCTTGTTCCGAGTGTTCAATAAAATGAAAATAAAATATTTTGGAGTCATAGATTAAATTTTGTAAAAATATAAACATGTGTTAGGTTACACATTGCAACTTTACTCAGTTCTTCAAGGTTAATTTAGAAGTAATGGTGATACTTAAGAACCATGCCCAAAGTTTTGTTAGGTATCATGTTTTGTTTCCATGATGGGACTTCATTTCCCTTTTTCAACTTTCCCGGTACAATCTAAATTTTCTCTATATGATTTCCTAACCCTCCAAAGCAGATTTGATGGTTAGTAGGTGAGAGGAAACATATGTTCCACTGGTGGATTCTATTCTGCTTGGAGTGACATGATGGGACATTGCCCCAAGTTTTCTTTAACACCAGAACAAAATTTAAAGAATGATCTCCCCCCTCTTATTTTTTTTTTAAACAATCCAGATTAAAGTGTAAAATTGCTTCGTATTCAAATATTCTTTCATTGCAATTTCAGCAGGAACTATAGATTGCAACTATTGTAAAATTCTCAGTTACTTTTTATAGGTGGAAATAAATTCTTGTAGGCAACACGAGAAAGTTACAAGATATGCAGATAATGGAAGCTGCTACTATATCGGAATTACCAAACATTATAGTAAAATTGAAAATAGGAATAAATATAAAATAGTTAACTTTTCACACATCATTTACTTGCCAAAAAAAAGGATGGGGAAATTATCATGCTTTCCTCATATAAAGCACCTTAAATTTCTCAGTTATTTGAAACTCAAGAAAAAATGATATTGGATGAAATTTACCATGGTCTTTTAACATAAAGGCAATTAAAATTCTTTTCAGATTAATAGCTGCATTTGTTTTTGATGCAACAGATGGAATAACTTAAGTCAACATTAAAAGTTATAATAAATGTAATAAGTTTACCGATCATTAAGATAATATAGGACTTTTAAGTTTATACTGATTTTAGAAACATCCAAAGTGGTTTAATTATATTGATAAAATATAGATAGTGTGATGGAGATAAAGCCAGTAAGTATAGCGAGGGAAAGTAACTTGTGTCTCTTTCACTTTGGCATATGAAATAATTTGAATATGCATAAGTAATCTCGGGAGACTATGATGAATATTAGAGGAAAATATTGTGTCTAAGCAATATACTGTATAGCTGTTTTTATTATAATTAGAACCCCTGTGGAAGATCATACTGAGTATTTCCCTAACACAGGAATCCTGCCAATTTTTATTCCTGGATTGCTCCTGCACTTTAATCGAAGCCCAACAAATATTTTGTATTTCTCTGCATAGATCAAAAAGTTGAGCTAAACTCAGTCATACCTTGAAAGCAAATATTAAAGGATATGCATCCTAGTCCTCAAAATATAATTTGGGAGTAAACTTGTTTTGATGTTTACCACCATGCAAATATGTTTAGTATAGCAGTATTAGACATTTATTAAGAAGTAGGGCACAAAACTGTTCTAATTTCTTCTCAAAGGCAAAGAACAAGTTTAACACACTTAATTTTTTTTCTTGAGTAAGTGTAGTTTTCAATTCACATGATTACTGGTATTAAATAAAACTTTATGAAAGCCCTCTTATAAGCAATTTTATTCCTAACCATGATGGCTGACAATGACAAAAACAGAATGTATCTGAGATCAGTTTTAAAAAAATAACTTACAAAGCAGTGATATACACAGCACAAAACAGGTCGGATGGGAAGAAGGAAGCAGTTCTTTTGAAAGATAAAATGTAAACGTAAAAAAGATGGAATAAAAGTCCCTATTTCTTATTTCTACTTAAGATGTCATGTGATAATATTTTACAACGTCCTGCAGGTCTATATATGTATGTGCTCATATTTATGTCTCTGTAACACACACATACATACACCTATCCCTACATATACATACACAGATAATTGTTTGCAGTTCAGTCTTGGGCAGCTCTGATATGCCACATATTATAGCTGAAACCAGATCAAGACCCACTTTCTTCACAAAACAGGGAAGATGGTTGGAAAATAACGGTGGGTCCAAATGTGGCAGAAATCTTTTCTGTTAAACTGTACACAGGGATGAATATTTTTTCTTCTTTAGTAGCTCTCTGGAGAGGGCCAACTCAGTGCAGCCTTCACGAAGAAACTTGATATTGGATCACACACTCATTGTCATGCTGGGAGAATACTGAAAAATAGGAATCCACATTTTAGCTACAACTCATTTACCAAGATACTAATAGTGAACATGAAATGCAAGTATCTTGATTAATAATAACAACTTAACATATGACTACTACTCCTAATTTAACATAACAATTTATTCATTCATTCATTCATTCATTCATTCATTCATTCATTCATTCATTCATTCATTCATTCATACTTCTATACCGCTCTTCTCCTTTCGGATTCAGGGCGGCGAACAGCCAAAATAAAAACATTTATATATAACATCACAGTCAAAAATAGATTCAAAATAATCAAACAAATTTGGCTCATAATTTAAAGCTTGTCAATTTAAAATCCGTATCAAATTTTAAAACCTACCATAAAATCAAGACAGACCGGCTAACTGAAAAAAGTAAGTTTTTAGGGCCCGATGAAAAGTCTGGAGGTCGGAGATAATTCATATCTCTGGGGGTATATTGTTCCAAAGGGAAAGTGCCACCACAGAGAAGGCTCTCCTCCTGGGGGTTGCCAGCCGGCATTGTCCGGCTGATGGCACCCTGAGGAGGCCCTCTCTGTGGGAGCGAACCAGCCGGTGGGAGGCTATTGGTGGCAGAAGGCGGTCTCATAAGTACCCTGGCCCTAAGCCATGGAGCGCTTTAAAGGTGATCACCAACACCTTGAAGCGCACCCGGAAGTCCACTGGAAGCCAATGCAGCTCGCGCAGGAGAGGAGTCACATGGGAGCGCCCTGTCGCTCCCATAATCCCCCGCGCGGCTGCATTCTGCACCAGTTGGAGCCTCCGGGTGTACCCCAAGGGGAGCCCCATGTAGAGAGTGTTACAATAGTCCAGACGAGAGGTGACGAGTGCTTGAGTGACCGTGCATAGGGAGTCCCGGTCCAGAAAGGGGCGCAACTAGCGTATCAGGCGAACCTGATAAAAAGCCCCCCTGGCCACGGCCGTCATATGCCCTTCTAAAGACAGCTGTGCGTCCAGGAGGACACCCAAGTTGTGGGCCCTCTCCGTGGGGGCCAATGATTCGCCCCCAATAACCAGCGATGGCGTCAGCTGGCTATACCGGGACGCCGGCAGCCACAGCCACTCGGTCTTGGAAGGGTTGAGTCGAAGCCTGTTTCTCCCCATCCAGACCCGCACGGCCTCCAGGCACTGGGACATCACTTCCAAGGCATCGTTGGGATGGTCTGGGGTGGAAATGTACAGCTGAGTATCATCAGCGTACTGATGGAACTCCACCCCAAAACCACAGATGTTCTCACCCAGCGGCTTCACATAAATGTTGAACAGGAGGGGCGAGAGGACCGACCCCACAAACAAGGCGCCTTGGGGTCGACCGCTGCCCCCGTCAACACGGATTGCGACCGGTCGGAGAGATAGGAGATGAACCACCGCAAAACGGTGCCCCCCACTCCCAGTCCCTCCAGCCGGCGCAACATGATACCATGGTCGATGGCTGCCAACACAAACTGCGAGCGGTCGGAGAGGTAGTAGGAGAATCACCGTAACACGGTGCCTCCAATTCCTAACCCCCTCAACCGCTGCAGCATGATACCATGGTCGATGGTATCAAAAGCTGCTGAGAGGTCTAACAGGACCAGGATAGAAGAATAACCCCTATCCCGGGTCCTCCAGAGATCATCCACCAACGCGACCAATGCCGTTTCCGTACTGTACCCAGGTCTGAAGCCAGACTGGAGCGGATCCAAATAGACAGCTTCATCCAGGTACTGGGGAAGCTGTCGCGCCACCACACTCTCAACAACCTTCGCAATAAAACGAAGGTTGGAGACTGGATGATAGTTAGCCAAAACAGCCGGATCCAGGGATGGCTTCTTGAGGAGAGGCCTCACCACCGCCTCTTAACATAATGTGATATCTCTCTGGCTTGGCAATGAAGGTAAGTGTTGTACCTTATTGTCTATAATTTTGCATGCCATGTAATATTTGATTAAGCAAAATTGTGCTACAAATATCTGGATTCTGAAACCTCTTAAGTTTCTCATGATTTATGATACGCATTAAGAGTTTTGTTTTCTCCTGCTTCCTTTGTTTCTTTGTGGAAACAAATTGTTTCACAATTTCCTTTGTGAAAATTGTGTGCAAATTTATATATATATCTATATGTATGTATGTATGTATGTATGTATGTATGTCTAAATTAGTATGTGAAATTTAAAGCAGAACATATACTATTATAGCAGGAGTAGCAATCAGTCACCAACATGGCTTGTTACCCTTTCCTTGCCTCCACTATAATATTAAAAATTGTAACATTTCCTAAGATCATCAAATTGCACAAGATTTCAGTCTAATAAACTATTGGGATCACATAACAATGGCGGGCAGGGGGAATGGGACAACCAGGTCCCCTCCCTATGTCTTGACAACTGAAATGGTTTAAGAGTTACTGATAATTTCTTGACTAAGTTACTGAAATGTCTCATCCAGTGTATACAGTACACAGAATTTGCTGATTTTAATACTTTAATTTCATCATTTCACTTCAGCAACTGATGAACTATTACAATATTTTTATGGTTATATCACTATGTTAAAAAAACTTATGATATTGTTTCAGAGGGAGATTCTTCAGTTAGATTAATATCAAGATCTAACTGAAGAGCTAGGCATAGAAAAACTGCAGCAAAGTTAAAATGTAAAGAGCTTTCTTCCTTTCCTACTTCTTGTTTAATTGGCAATTTTAATATGAAAATCATACTGTACCAAAACAATAACAGCAATAATTTCAATCAATTTTATTACAGTCACAGACCAGCAAAAACAGTAATAATTTATACAAAGTGATTACAAATATGATTCCATTAAATTGTATGCATTTTCTTGAATTGAAAAAGTTCTGCTAAAAGTGAATAATAATTTCATGGTAAGGAAGAAATATTTATTAATCACACAGGATGAAAATCTGATATTTTTATTATAAAGCCAGTTTTATCTAATCTGGAATGATAAACCTTAAATCCAAGTTATTACCATTGTATATAACTTTTGTATTAGTGTTTTTCTCACTGTTAATTTATATCAAAAATGTATTTACTGGAAATGAAATAAGCATAAAATTATTTGTATATACATGAAAACATATTAAGAGTAAGAATGTTTATAAACTATAAATTGATTTATATACCATTATTCTATTAGAATATTACTCTCTGGTTTTAATTCAATAAATTTTTGAACGTTCTAATGCAAACAGTAATAAGAAAGTCAGATCTATCTGCAGCAAGTTGTTCTAACAACATTTAATTTCATTTAGAACAAATTGTTGATTGACTGATGGACAAATGTTATTTTATTTAGAATTAAATATGAATCAAATAACTCTTCAAAAAAAGAGAATATTTTAAAGAGTCTTAAGCATTGGTAAAAATTTATCTTAATAGAGACACTAGTTGGCTTAAACAAGTTAATTCTAACAACTATTGCTCAGAATATTATTTCCAATTTATTTTTTGGAAACTACCTGATCACCATTATTCTTTCCATACACTAACTGGATTCACAGGCAACACATAATTTAACATGAAATATATCATTTATTATACATTTCCGATTCTTTTTCTGTCTTTGTAACCTCAAATCAGGTAAATTTGTTCTAATCTAAAACATGGAAATATATATCTCAGTTGTTCTTTTAAATGTATCCTAAGGATCAATTCAGGAAATGTTGTGCAGAATATTTAGTCCAATGTTGGCTAAATGTTTTGTGGAAGAAGTGGGACTATCAATTATTTCAACATATTGAGAAAAAAAATCTCTTTAAGGAGCTACATTTCAAACAAAACATCTTTCATACTGGTCCTCCTGATTCAGTAAGATCTTAAGAATTTACATGAAATGTAAATTAACAGAATACATTTGATATGAGTAAAGTAGGTAACTGAATGTAAAATTGTTACTACAATTATTGTTCTGTGAAATTATATCAATTTCTATTTAGCAAAATTGAAATTAGTGCTTATTGTAACACTGCATATCATACTTTTAATTTTTGTTAACAAAATAATAATATAAGTGACAACATAGGCAAAAAAACAAACATATTTTTCTTTACATTGTCACTTATAGTTTTTATTTTGGTTTATTGATAATAGAAGAAATGGGGAAAGAAATTTAAATTTATCACTATTATATACTTCTTGGGCAGTATCTTCCTTGCTATAGGTTCAAATTTGTTGAAATTGGCTTTGAATGCAGAAATATATGCAACATAACTTCATGCTGAATGAAAACACACTTTTGATTCCGTCTTTCACACTTCATACACACAAATACAAACCCTTACATATATGAACAAAAAAAGTGTGAGATATAATATTAAACATTACAATGTCTACTACAATAGATATATTAAGTAATGTTAAATTTTTCAAAAATTATACGCAATTGCCCCATCATTCTTTTATTTTTTTTAAATGTTGAATTATAGTTTTTCAATTAACACCTAATTGGCCTTAATCTTAAATATAGATGTTATACAATCCCTTGAACATTTCCCTTGAAATTATTATTATTCTTTACATTAAATGGAAACTAAATTTATATTTTATTTATTCATTAAATTTATTTGCTGCCCATCTCGCCACAGTTGAGTGGTGGCTTTCAACATAAAAGGCAATAAAACCATAATAATTAGATAATTCAAATAACAATTTATAACAACTTTATGTCCATTTACTGAGAAGTAAATCTTGTTGCACTCATTCACAAGTTTTACAGTACTGTATACCTAGTTTTTTATTTAAAAATAAAGAAAAACTTACTGGCCATAAATACTGTACAAAAGTGATTTAAGAAGGTTGTGGAAGTTTTTAAAAAAGAGACTGCACAGGTACCTCCAAAAGATCATTTAATTGGTTTTCTTAACCACTATAGACCAAATGATCTTTGTGAATCCTTCTATTGCCATCATTCTGTGATGTTAATAAATATGTTCAGGGTTGTCTTGCTATGATTCAGCATATGAAGCAAATGTATCGTGTATGTATCATTCCTAGTAATACTATAGGCAATAGCAATGGAAACTGCAAAACAAGCTTAACATAAGTGTTCATAACTTGATTTCTTTTCACATTAAACACACAGCCCTTAATCTATTATGGGTACAGGAATTCATAAGTATTATTATACATGGCAACACCTAAAATGATGAGGTAGAGCTGTACATCCAGCAGAACAACCAGAATAAAAAATAAGTACTTACACTTTCACTCTGAAAAGGATTTAGAAAGTTACCCCCCATTTCACCATCATCTCGAGGGGTCCCAGGCTGATTGCTCATACTCATATTACTTGGAGAATTCTATTTGGAAAACAAAGCAAGAAAATCAAAAGCATAAATCATATGAAACTTTTTAAAAGCATCCCATGAGAGATACTTTTCTTTCACCCACAAGTACAATGCCCTCATTCTCAAGGGTGAGAGAAACACATATCCAATAGGGATTATCTTATATTTGCCAACCTGTATAAATATACTGAGTGGGGAAAGGTTCCTCTTGTACACCTGTATATATTATGTAAGCCCAGTTTCATGTCCATATTATAACCTTGGCAAAAATCACAAAGTCAGGGGCAGGGCTGATGATTTAGGGCCCCACTACACAGCACAAGAAAAGTCAAACCTAAGAACTATTCTGAAGCCAACCATGACATTTTCATTCCTCTTAGCATTGAAATGCTGACAGATGTGCAGAGATTACATGAAACCAATCCATCATCTCTTAACTGATCAGTCAAGAGATTGCAAAAGTTGTATTCACTAGCTCTGAAAAGGTTTTTCAATCCTGTATAGCTGTTTTCAATTTATCTTTCTTCTTTTGAAGATTGTGTTGGGACAGAATGGGAAACAGGATTTTATTTACAGTTTTAAGGCTGTGTTAAAGAGGTGGGTTTCATCAGTTTCTGACCAGTTCTGGAGAACCGGTAGTGGAAATTTTGAGTAGTTCGGAGAACCGGTAGTAAAAATTCTGACTGGCCCCGCCCACATCTATTCTCTGCCTCTCAAGTCCCAGCTGATAGGGAGGAAATGGAGATTTTGCAGTAACCTTCCCCTGGATTGGGGAGAGAATGGAGATTTTACAATATCCTCCCCCTGCCACGCCCACCAAGCCATGCCCACCAAGCCATGCCATGCCCACCAAGCCACACCCACAGAACCGGTAGTAAAAAAATTTGAAACCCACCACTGTTCTAGATGCACATTTGTATTTAAGTTAGACATGCATTACTTTGGGTGAGTCCCCCTGAAGACTTCAACTAAGCACACTCATTGCTCAGGTGATGATTTAGCAGAATTATCAAGCAGGATTGTACCGTGGGTTTCATAATGAAATTATGGCCCCTCCTCCCTGTAGCACCTTACATGAAATGCCTCAACATTTTTCTTTCTTAACTTTAACTTTCTTAACTTAAGAGTGAATAATAAGAATAGGGGTGGGGGGGGGGGGAAACAGAGATAAGTACTTATTTTGAAAAGTTGGGTGGGAACAAGGTCAGACAATTCAGTAAAAGTGGTTGGGTCATTATGAAAAAGAGAATGAGAATAGTGACTATTTGGTGAATAGCTGTTTTGGAAAAAAAAAAACCACGTTTCTTTCAAATCCATAATTTAAACAAGTGTCCTAATATGTACAATAGGGAAATCAATGAATCTTAGAGGTTAATTGTTTATGATTAGTGAAGAATTCAAGGATGGTGAAAAGTTTTAAATGTGGACAAATTATTCATTGTATTAAGAATAGATTTTGGAAGAAAATGATGGTAGAATAAAAAATGTGAAAGGAATGAAAGTGAAAGTAAAAAAATAAGTAACTAGAGGAAGATTTACAAAAGGATACACAAAACAAAATTAAGAAACAAATGGAAATGAAAAAACATGAAATAAACTTGAATGAGCAAGAATTTTTGGCAAATAAATTAAGAGCATCTAAACAATTTTTTTTTGAAAATGCAAATAAACCGGGAAGAAGGTTAGCATACAAAAGAAAAAGAGAAAAAGAGAAGGAAGTAATAAAATATTTACAAGATGAAAAGGGGAAAATTCATTATAGAAGTGAAGAAAAGAAGAGAATAATTCAAAATTATTATGAAAAGCTCTATTATCAAGAGAAGATATCTGAAGAGAATACAATTTTTTAAAAAACCAGTCCTACCTAAAATATCCAAACAATACAAAGGGATGTTAGAAGAGAGAATAACAGTGATGGAGCTAACAGAAATGATTAAAAAACAAAAAAATGGGAAAACACCAGGTCCGGATGGACTACCAGCGGAACTATATAAGACATTTCAAGAGGTGTTAAACAATGTAATATTGGAATTATTTAATGAACTTTTATTAAAAGCAAAAATGCCAGATTCCTGGATAGAGGCCTATGTAACACTTATACCTAAAGAAGATTCAGATCTGCAATTTATAAAAAACTATAGATTGATTTCATTGTTAAATGTGGATTATAAGATTTTCGCTTCTATAATGGTGAATAGACTAAAGAGACTATTAAATGAATTCATTTGCATGGACCAAAATGGGTTTCTACCTAAAAGGCAAATTAGAGACAATATGAGGATAATTTTGAATACGTTGGAGTATTATGAGACACATCCAGAAAAACAAATGGCGATGATATTTCTAGATGCACAGAAAGCTTTTGATAATGTAAATTGGCAGTTTATGATAAAGCAACTACAGATAATGGACTTTGGGGAGAGATTTATGAATACTATAAAAACAATATATGATAAACAATCAGCTAAGATAATGATGAATGGAGAAATGACAGAAAAAGTTAAGATAACAAAAGGAACAAGGCAAGGATGCCCATTATCCCCATTGTTATTTGTATTGACTCTAGAAGTGCTAAATAGAAATATAAGATGAAATGAAGAAATAAAAGGGATGAAAATTAAAAAAGAGGAATGTAAACTACAAGCCTTTGTGGATGATTTAGTATTTATCTTGGAGGAACCCCAAAAAACAGGACCCAAATTATTAGAACAAATAGAGGAATATGAAGAGGTAGCAAGTTTAAAAATAAATAAAGAAAAAACAAAAATATTGGTAAAAAATATTACAGAAAAAAAAAGAGAATTAAGGGAGAAATTGGATATACAAATTGTGAAAAAAGTGAGATATTTAGGAATACAATTAACTTCAAGATGTGTAAAAATAAAAGAGGATAATTATTATAAATTAAAAAGACAAATTGAGAAAGACTTGGAAAAATGGAAAACTTTGCAACTATCATTTATGGGAAAAATAGCAATAATCAAGATGAATATATTACCGAGGTTATTGTTTTTATTCCAGACAATTCCTATAAAAATTGAAAAGACTTATTTAAAAGAATTATATGGTTTTTATTTAGAAATGATAGATTTGGATAAGATACTTGTGGGAACAGAGGATAAAATAATTTTAAAAATCTATAGCTTTCTGCTTAGTATGGTCAGTGGCTGAATGATCTTGGTAGAGGGGACCTAGACATTAAACCCTTGTCATGGACAGATCATTTGCTCCTTCGCTTAGACTTTCAAGCCGCTTCCCCCCGCCGCAGGGAGACGGAACCGACTAGATGGTTCCGTCCCAGGCGCCTGATGGATCCTGAAAGGTTCCAGATGGAGCTTGGGCCGTTTCCCGAGACTCTGGCACACGACTCGACTGAAGATCTGGTGGCCGCCTGGGATAGTGCGGCCACAGGGGCTTTGGACTGCATCGTGCCTTTGCGGCCTCTGACCCGATGCCGATCTCAATTGGCTCCTTGGTTCTCTGAGGAGCTGAGAGAGATGAAGCGTCGGAAAAGATGCCTAGAGAGTGTTTGGAGGACTAGTCAATCCGAATCTGACCGGACACAGGTGAGGTCTTATATCAAGACCTACCTAGTGACGATAAAAGTGGCAACATCTAACTATTTTTCCGCTCTTATCGCATCTGCAGAGAACCGCCCAGTCGCTCTGTTTAGGGTGACCCACTCCCTCCTTCGGGTGGAAGTGCGGGAAGATCCCTTGCAGGGTCGAGCTGAGGATTTTGTGCAATTCCTGCATGATAAAGTCGCTCAGATTCGGGAAGGCTTGGACTCCGACTGGGTGAGTCTGGGGAGGGAGATGGGGGTGAGTCTTGAGAATATTATCTGGGAAGAATTTGACCCTGTGGCTCCCGAGGACGTGGACAGGATTCTGGGTGGGCTTAGTGCTACCACATGTTTATTGGATCCGTGTCCCTTCTGGTTGGTACTGGCCTCCCGGGAGGTTACACGAGGCTGGCTCCAGGGGATTATAAATGCTTCTTAGAGTGAGGGTGCCTTTCCTGCCGCCTTGAAAGAGGTGGTGGTGAGGCCCCTTCTCAAGAAGCCATCCCTGGACCCGGCTGTATTAGCAAATTACCGTCCGGTCTCCAACCTACGTTTTGTGGCGAAGGTTGTCGAGTGTGTGGTGGCACGACAGCTACCCCGGTACCTGGAGGAAGCTGTCTATCTGGACCCGTACCAGTCGGGCTTCAGGCGGGGTACAGCACAGAAATGGCATTGGTCGCGTTGGTTGATGATCTCTGGAGGGCTCGGGAGAGGGGTTGCTCCTCTGTCCTGGTCCTATTAGATCTCTCAGCGGCTTTTGATACCATCGACCATGGTATCATGCTGCAGCGGTTGAGGGGGTTAGGAATTGGAGGCACCGGGTTACGGTGGTTCTCCTCCTATCTCTCCGACCGCTCGCAGTTTGTGTTGGCAGGGGGGCAGAGGTCGACCTTAAGGCGCCTCGCTTGGGGAGTGCCGCAAGGGTCGGTCCTCTCGCCCCTTCTGTTCAACATTTATGTGAAGCCGCTGGGTGAGATCATCTGTGGTTTTGGGGTGAGAGTCCATCAATACGCTGATGACACCCAGCTGTACATCTCCACCCCAAACCACCCCAATGATGCCCTTGATGTGATCTTCCGCTGCCTGGAGGCCGTGCAGGTCTGGATGGGGAGAAATAGGCTCAAGCTCAACCCTTCCAAGACTGAGGGGCTGTGGCTTCTGGCCAGTATAGTCAGCTGGTGCTATCGCTGACTATTGGGGGTGAATCTTTGCCCCCCACAGAGAGGGCTCGCAATCTGGGTGTCCTCCTGGACTTACGGCTGTCTTTAGAAGAGCATATGACGGCCGTAGCCAGGGGGGCTTTTTATCAGATTCGCCTGATCCACCAATTGCATCCCTTTCTGGACCGGGACGCCTTGTGCACGGTCACTCATGCCCTCACTTCCCGTCTGGACTACTGTAATGCTCTCTACATGGGGCTCCCCTTGAAGAGCACTCGGAGGCTCCAACTGGTCCAGAATGCGGCTGCACGGGTGGTTATGGGCGCATCTCATTACGCCCACATAACACCTCTCCTGCGCGAGCTGCACTGGCTCCCAGTGGTCTTCCGGGTGCAATTCAAGGTGTTGGTCACCACCTTTAAACTGCTCCATGGCATAGAACCAGGATATTTACGGGACCGCCTTCTGCCACCAATAGCCTCCCACTGATCAGTTCGCTCCCACAGAGAGGGACTCCTCAAGGTACCATCGGCCAAGTTATGTCGGCTGGCGATACCCAGGAGGAGAGCCTTCTCTGTCAGAGCTCCTGCCCTCTGGAATGAATTGCTCCCGGATATTTGTAACATCTCTGACCTCTGGGTCTTTCACTGTGCCCTCAAGACCCTACTGTTCCGACAGGCGGGGCTGTCTAACTGAATGATTTTAAATTGGATTTTAATATTGGGTTTTAAAATTCGGCCAAAACTATTTAATGATTTTAATTAATTTTAACTATGATATTGTATATTTATGTTTTTAATCTTGGCTGTACACCGCCCCGAGTAAGGGGAGGGCTGTATATAAATAAAATTATTATTATTAGTATGGAATTAGTGGAAGAACCAGTAAAGGAAACAATGATTGCTTGGACAAAAAAATGTGAATATTCAATTGAGCTCGATAGATGGCAACAGTTATGGGAAAGGAACTATAAACTAACAATGTCCAGTGCATATAAAGAGAATCAATATAAAATGTTTTATAGACGGCATATGCCTCTGGAAAAATTGGCAAAAACATTTAAAGACAAATCAGCTAAATGTTGGTAATGCCATCAAATACCAGGATCTTATTATCATATGTGGTGGACATTCCCAGAAGCTAGAGATTGGAGCAGAATTAAGACATGGTTAGAAGAAATGATCCAACAACGTATTGATTTAAAACCTGAGCTTTTCCTATTGGGTATACTACCAGAGAAAATTAGTAAAGAAAATATATACTTGATTATACATATAATAACTGCAGCGAGGATTGTATTTGCACAAAGATGGAAAGCAGAGAAAAATCCCTTTGGAAGGGAAGTAATTAAAAAAATCTTAGATTGTGCAAAAATGAACAGATTAACTTTGATGATTAAAGAGAGAGAAGAAATGGACTATTATAAGATATGGGGGAAATTTTATGATCGGTTAAAAAAGAGTTATGGATAAAGATTGTGATAATCAAATAAGGAGAATGTTATATTAAATGTTATGTAATTTTGGAGGAAATATCGCAACAGAGAAATGGAAATTATCAAGGAGAAATGAAGATAGGAGGAGTAATAAAAAGAAGTAGTCACGGAAGAAATACCAAGAAGACACACGGAAGGATTGATGTACTACTTGGTTTGTTTAAAAAAAAACAAAAAACTTTTATTAAAAAAAAAAGAAAGTAAAAGTAAAAAATGAATACAAGAACGGAAAGCAGGAGCCTGTATGTAAAAAAACAGTAAAGACAGATTAATTTCCCAAGAGAATGATGGAAAGAAGATGGAATCAGAGAGAATATGGAAACCAGGGTAAGAATAATTATATTACAGCATGTCACAGATATGTGTGGAATTATGCTTGAAAAGAGGATGTCTAGAAATGAGAATGAGAAAGGGAAATGGAAAAAAAGGCAAGTTTTAAGTACAGAGTCAAAGAGAGCAAGAGTGGTTTGAGATAAATAGTGGAAGATAAAATGTTAACAGATGTTAACATTGTTTTGGAATTCTGTAAAGACGACTAAGCAAGATACATGTAACAATGAATGGGATTAAAATAACAGTGATATCGAAGACAAAATGTATTAAAATGAATTTATACATGCCATAAGGATGCTGAAAAATGCTACAGCTGCAGGTATAGATGGTTAACTGGAGAAGTGTTAAAACATGGATATGGCTTCCTCATGGAGTGGCTGTGTGACTTGTTGAATACCACGTCATTATTATTTCATTACACAAAAGAAAAGATAGCAGGAACTGATGCAAAAACTATGGGGGATTTGTTTAAGTATGCCTGGAGAAGCATATGGCAGAATTTGGATTTAAAGAGGTGATAATGAGCAAATCTGTTAAGAACTCTGTGGTTTTATTATGGGAAGAGTGGTTTACAGACCAGATTTTTGCTTTTCAGCAAGTCACTGAGAATGTATGAATGTGAGAAAGAAATTTTACTGTATGTTTGTTGATTTAAAGAATGCTATAAAGTAAATATGCTTAAATTATGAAATGTTTTTCATAAATATTGACTGGATGTTGATTGCTGAAAATAATAAGAGCAGTATATAAAAGAAGTAAGGCATTTGTGAAAATAAATTGAATGCTTAATACATAGTTCAACACTGAGCAGGGAGGGAGAGTGTCCCCTTGTTTGTTTAATTGTAGATATGTGCAAGGAATGCTTGTGGTGATAGCAAAGATGTTTGGCTGGGTACAGGAATATATACTTTTGCATGCAGGCATGTAGTATACTTGACTGAATACACAAATGTGATAATGGAACTGTATATGGATGTGCAGGAAGTAAAGATGACATGTCCAAGAAGTACAGTGAAGAGTTTAGGCCTAAAGCTACTATAGTTTTAACAGTTTTCTTCTTTTTATATTATGTTTTTAATTTCTTTTGACTATCTCTTACTTCTGTTCTGCATTGTGCTGTTTTCCTGGAAGGGTGGTGAATATATGCAGGAATTGTCTTTGATAAGATCAACTATGAACTTTAAGAAGAAGAAAAGAACAAACTATAGCCAGAGTCACACATAGTTTAAGGAGGAAACCCTTATAAATCAAGGAAAACCACTTGGAAAAATGAGAGTATTTTAATGTATACCTGTTTTTCGAAAGAAGTCTGATATCTACATTTCTATGGTTTGAGACACAAATGTAGCAATAAAACTCAGCCACTTTAATGAAAATTAGGTTTTAGTTCATGAGCCACAGATAGAAACAATGTACATCTTCAGATTTCTGTTATTAGGAAAACTGGGATATCTTCAAAATCAGCATAAGCATTTTCATTTTAAAACAGATATTTTAACAGTCCTTTTGTTTAGAGGAAAAGCAATGTTAAAAATAAAATGTTTACTTACTTTGGAGATACTGTCCATATCTCCTGAGCCTTAAATTAAAAAAGAAACCTCAGTTTAATTAATTCAATTTAAACAATGCATTCAGTTAAATCTTAAAACATCTTTCACTTTGTTGCACTGATGATTTTAGATTTAGAGGTCTCACATGCTCTCATGTCTGAGATCCTAGTTCTTTTTCAGACTGCTTTCTGAAGAGTTTTTAGAAATCCTAAGAGGTTGCAAGAATAAGGAATAATGCTCTGTGTAATCCCAAAGCTAAATAAAGAATAAGCGTTGTGTAATTTTATTTCATTTTGCGCTTGCACTGATGGTGCTATCTCAAATAGTATTGCTCAAATAATGTTTATATGCCTTTTCCATTGATGTTAGCGTGCCTGCTATTACAATTATTTATATGCTGCCTACTCAAAGAAATCAGGAGGTCTTATAATAGTTCCATTAAACATATCCATAAAAATTATAAATGCTAAATCATTAAGTATTTTTTAAAAGGCTGCTGCATGCTTCCACTTAAACTCAATTCCTAAAAGCTCTGTGGAAGAGAATGGCTGATGGATAAAAGGATGGAGGTTAGCCTGATTTAACAGAATGAACTATTCCGAAGTGAGATGGCTCCTGCTGAGAAAGCCATTTTCTGGTTTTCCAATCCCCTGATCATTTTCAGGATGGGCAGCTGCAGCTTTCTGTCCTGGCCATCCTATTTAGATTCTTTCCAAAGAAGGTGGTAAACTAAGGATCAACTTCTTAACTGAAATCTATTGCCAACCAAAGCAGCTCTCATGAAATAGATGCTTTATAGCAGGGGCATCAAACTCGATTTCATTGAGGGCTGCATCAGGATTGTATTTGACCTCGGGTAGGGCGGGGGGACATGACTAGGGTGGACGTGGCCAGTTCGACATCACTCGCTCCGTTTTTGGCTGCGATGGCCTCCTGTATCCTTCTGCCTTCGAAAATAAAGCCAGGCCCAAGCTCCATTTTCATTGGCAGGGGCACCGTGGGTCCTTCGCTGATTCCAGGGCAGCCCTGCAGGCCAGATCTAAACATCCTGTGGGCCAGATCCAGCCCGCGGGCTTTCAGTTTGACATCCTGCTTTATAATTTCTACCTAGCAGAAACCAAGAATCCAAAAGAACCCACACACGACACAATAGCTCTTTCTGCTAGAGTGCAATAAATGAAATTTCCATAGAACCAATGAGTTTATGTATCTCAGTTATTTTGTCCCATTCAATCTCTCATAGCCTCCAAGTACTGGTCAGGATTTACACAGCATCTCCTGTATAGTCTGAGTTTGAGATATAAAGCTGAGTATCATCAGCATATTAAATACACTGCACCCCAAACCAACAGATCTTTCTCGGCAATTTCATGTTGATGTTAAATAAGAATGAAAAGAGGCTCAAGCCCTAGAGCATCACACACTTGACTGGTCCAGGCTGAACCTCTTCTTCAAAAACATTGATTGGAATTGCCTGCAGAACCATCACCTACAGCATCCCAAATATCCAGCCCTCACAAGGTTACCATAGTTGATGGCTGTTGAAGCCAACAGGATGAGGAAAAACACATCAATTTCCTCCCTTCTCAATATGTGCAAAACATAACATATAAAGCAGAGAGAATAAAATCTATAATGTCCCTTTCACGATCATCTGACTTTTTTTTTCTAATTTAAGGAGCTCATCTTTATTTGTAATTTCTAACTACAGAAAAAATTTGAGAAACCAATAAAACAGTTGAATATGATATATTTTAAAAACGGGATACATTACCTAGCACAGGATTTAAAAAGGCAAATTATATTCTTACCTAGTGATCCATTCATATGATGTGAATCCATTCCACTTAATCCACCCATTGGACCATCTGACCCTGGTCCCATTGGAAACTGCAAAAAGGGGAAATACGTCATACTCCAAAAATGTTAATAATTTGTAACAAAGAGAAATACAACTCATAGGACATAATTCCGCTGTGCCCTTAAAACCTTCTTTTTCCAGCAAGCCGGGCTGGCCTAACACTTTTTAAAATGTTTTTTAATTGTTTGTTATTGTTTTTAATCATGGGGCCAAATTTATATATATCTTTTTAATTGTATTTTAATATTTGTAGTTTATGTTTTTATTTGGCTGTTTACCGCCCTGAGTCCTCAGGGAGAAGGGCGGTATACAAATTTAAAAATAAATAAATAAATAATAAATAAAGAGATTAAGAAAATGTCCACGATAGATAGATAGGTAGGTAGGTAGGTAGGTAGGTAGATAGCTAGATAGATAAATAAATAGAAGATTAGAATATACAATTATTAAAATTTTGGATTTAGGGAGTCAGGCATAAATTCAAATGTATGTATTTATTACGGTTATTTACATTAGGTCTGTTGGCTCCAGGAGGTACTGCATTCATTAAAGTGTACATGTTATCTCCAGAGTTGGTTGAATCTGAAAACAAAAATGCCAAGTACTTTCAATGAAATCAATGAAAACAATTAATTATTATTTTTAAGGAAAGACATTCCAGTATTGCTTTCCAACTGATTATTAACATTCTATGAATCAAGTATAAGATACTTCACAAGATCTACAGCCACCGATAATAGACATTTATTACAAAGTAATAACTATAGATTAGAATCCAGATCACTAAGTGAAAGGGCACAAAGGTTTTCCTAATGAGTCATGAATAAGTACTTTATTTTGATTAGGAAAGAGCAATGACATTGTGAGGTAAGATTTGAACTTTCAAAATGATCATGAAGTACAGATAGTCCTCGACTTACAACAGTTCATTTAGTGACCGTTTAAAGTTACAATGGCACTGAAAAATGACTTATGACTATTTTCCACAGTTACGACTTTTGCAGCATTCCCATGATCACGTGATCAAAATTCAGATGATTGGCAACTGGTTCATATTTATGACCATGCTATGTCCCAAGGTCATGTGATCACCTTTTGTGACCTTCTGACAAGCAAAGTCAATGGGGAAGCAGATTCACTTAACAACTGTGTTACTAATTTATCAACTGCAGTGATCCACTTAACAACTGTGGCAAGAAAAGTTGTAAAATGGGGGAAAACTCACTTAACAAATGTCTCACCTAACAATAGAAATTTTGGGCTCAATTGTGCTTGTAAATTGAGGACTACCTGTATTCCGTTAAGTAACAGAATGTGTTGGATTAATGGCACAGAGGTCCTTGTTGGATTGTAAATAATATGTGTATGCATTTTATTTATGAAATACAAAATGGTGCAGAGGAACAATAAGAATATAGGATGAGTTTTTAAAGTTTTGTTTGGTAAAGTCTCAGTGTATTAACTTATATTTAAGATTTTAAATATATACTTTAACTATTAAAAAAGAAATTCATCTATATTTTTTGTGCCAAAACCAAAAAATGAGACAAATACTATGTTTATCCAAACAAACAAACAAACAAACAAACAAAACCCATAGATTATTTATTTATTTTATCCAAATAATGTAACTTTAATAAGTTGTAATTTTAGGTTAGATAAGACTATGAAGGGAGCCAGTTTGGGATAATGGCTAAGGCACCATGCTAAGAACCAGGAGACCATGTGTTCTAATACCACCTTAGGTGGAAAGCCAAATGGGTAACTTTGGGCAGTCATGCTCTCTGAGCCCTAGGAAAGAGGCAATGGCACTTCTGAAATCTTGCCAAGAAAACTGCAAGAACTAGTCCAGGTAGTTGCCAGAAGTCAGCACTACTTGAAGCCAGATCAGCTTTTATAAGTACACTTTTCTTTTCAGGGAATTATTTTAAACTCAGAGTCATCATTTTCCCCGCAGATAAATACAGTAGCAAAATGTTGCCAGCATTTTTGTTTTATAATTATGTATGCGAGAAATAGTCCCAGAGTGAGGAAAACTATAATAAGGCATTCTGAAAAGTAGACGAGGTCAAGGAAATTACGCATTATTTCATAGCTTTGCATTGACGCCATTTTTAGGCAAACATGGTAATTAACAAAAACAATAATGTAGGTTAATCTCACATTATATTTGAAAATATTTTTGAAGATTTATGCAGTAAAATGTTGTTATTTCCTGTGATACAGTAAGCCATAACAATTTGTGTTCATAATGGGGAAAATTAAGGAATTATCTTCCAGACTGAGAGAATGGTTGATATAACTTTGGCAGTTTCCTATAAGTAATATTGTGTGTTCAATTCATGTAAACTAAGGATATCTAGAATCTGCTAAGTTCTGTAAGGAAATACAGTGGTTGAGAATTCTAACAATGGCTATTGAAATGTTAAGCAAATGTTAAACGATTGCTGTGTCAAACATTGCCATTTCATTCCCCCATTAAAGTTATCTACCTGCCGGACTAGGCATGATGGGTGTTCCAGGTGGCCCTCCACCTCCTGGTGGACCCTTAAAAAAATGAAAGGCAAATCAGGAACATACATACACACAAATATTGTATAAGCAACATAATTAAAAGATTTGATTAAACAGTAACTTTTCTATATATCTATCATTTATCATTTCATTTTCCAAATGGTTAGATATAATGTCACTCAAAGATTTGCTTTTTTTCAACAAGAAAACCTAAATAGCCCAGAAAAATACAATTATTCAGCTAATATATATATTACCACCAGATCATCTCAAATTCATAGTTGTTCCTTAATCTGATTCAGGTGGATTGACCTGGGTAGTATTTTCCTCATGCGAAAACTTGTCAACTTACACAATTAATGAAAGTTGCAAAACTGGCTTGGATAAGCAGGGGTTGGATGAAAGACTGGATAGAGAGATAAATAAAGCACATTCTGATGGGAAAGACTTGAGGCTTCAGCCCACGGATACTTTTCTCTCTAGTTAGCTCTGATCTTCCATAAAATCTAACAATATTCTTTCAAAAGAACTTTGCCAGCATTTCTCTTTATCATCCTGCTCCAATTTTAAATATATACCTTTCCTATTAACCCTTTACCTTGAAGCCTGCTCTAATTTCCTATTTATGTGTTTTTTCCAACTTTTATTTAATTGCGTCTACATTTTTGAACTTCTGTTTTTTCCTGTTCAGCACATAGCAATTTTGGTTTTTATAACTAAAGCAAGTATTAAAAAATTAGTATATAATCAATATACACTGGTGATTCAGTACTTATTGTTAATTGGTTCTGGGAGGTGCAATTAACACCAAACAAAATTTTCCCATAAGGAATAATGTATTAGTCATGAGGTAACTGACATCAGCAAGTTCTAGCTTGTGCACTGACTACCAAACAAACAATGAATATCGGGACAAAATATTTGCATCAAAATGCATTCAGTACCAAATTCAATGAGTTCCAAGCATTTGAGTACCGAGATTCCACTGTACTAGAAATACATGGCAGACATAACTGATATTTTTGTGCTTTTTTCTCAGCAATTGAACATCTACTGTATATTTTAAACTGAACAGAATGATGTATGCACACTGATGAGCACTGCACACATAAATGTACACACACACATACTCACTACATAATTCCCAGGTGAAGCAGAAGAGTACGGTATCTAAAAGACAGTAAGACAACAAAAATAGACTATTCTTTTCAGTTCATATAGACTAACAAGGTTTTTATAAATATTATTTTATTATTTTACAGTTAGTTTTACAGGAAAGAAAGAATATGCTCAGTTTTTCAATTAATTAATTCTATTAAGAAAGGGAATGGTAATATCAAATCAAAATCAGTCATATAGAATTACAGGTAGTCCTCACTTAAAGTCCATTTGTTCAGCTAACTGTTAAAATTATGACATCATTGAACAAAGGGACTTATGACCAATCCCCTAAACACCCCTATGGTCAGGTGAACAAAGTTCAGGCCCATTAAGGCTCACCCACATTTACAACTGACTTTAGGCCACTTGCCTACCTGCTGGGTGTCACTACTGAATTGGCCATTTTATCCTGCCTATTTGCTGCATCTGGGACTTCTGTCATGCCTGCTCAGGGTCTCTATTCACGCACTAACCAGGGTCTTCAAGCTAGGTCCTTCTTTTGCACTGCTATAGCTGGGGCCATCTTTTGTGTGCCAGTGAAAACTCCTGAGTGAGGCACAAACAGTATGAATGGAAGTCCTGAACAGAGTGTAAGAGAAGCTCTGGCTGCACCAACAAGAAAGAAGTGCAAAAGAAGGACTCAACCAGTACAGTACTGGTACACATGACTGGATGGTGGGTGCAGCTGGTGGTGGCAGTTAAGCAGATGGCCAAAAGGGTACAGATGGGGTAGAGATAGGCAGGTGGGGGGAATTCAAGAGGAGGCAGTCCCTTACCTTACTGAGGCTTGGGGCTGGGAGGGTTCAAGCTGGGAATGGCTTGGATCGGGTGGGGTCCTCGCCTAATTACTTGTGGGATTCAGTTAACGATGGCAATGGGGACTGCTGTCACTAAGCGATGCAATCACATAATGTTGTACTTTAGAGATGCATTGCTTTGCAACAGAAATTCTGGTCCCAATTACCGTCGTTAACCAAGGACTACCTGTAGAAAGAACATTTTTTACAATTAGTTTTACCTTAACTTTACATATAGAATTTCAAAGAAAAATAAAATTTTAAAAAGTCAATTATAAACAAAACAATAAATTTGATTTGATTGTGCAATTATTAATATTTTAGGTACACAATCAGGTACACAAATAATTAATTACCATATTATCTAAAGATCTCTGAAATAAGAGTAATCTTTACTAATGCCAAGTACAACCTCTAAAAAGATCTTTTGGGATTATAAAAACTAACATTACCATTAACCAGACAGTTACTATGTGCAAAAACTGATAAAACAAGCACGTTTTGATTAATTTACTTTCACTTCTTTTTAACAGGACAATGCTTCATATAAATGTTTACTCACAGAATTGGCATTTGTAGGGTTTGGCCAAGGTCTACCACCTCCTGGACCCCTAAAATAAAGATCAAATTTCAGTTTAAATAAGCAATAAAGCTTATTTAACTATAAACTATTTAATAAGCATAAACAAAATTCATTAAGTTGTTGCTGATATTCTTTCAAAAAAGCAATTACTGAAGAAAACAAAGAAGTACAATTGATATTATTTATATTTGTAATTTAAATTTAACTTATAGTTTAAATGTATAATTTAAAATAAGAACTTTATACAGATTAGTATAGTAACTGCAGTCAACAGACATGCCTAGAAATATTGTATGGAGATATTTTATATAATATTCTGACAAGAAGAAGTAAATATCGTCTAAGGTATTTCTAAAATAATCAATCCATCCAGTATTTTAGGTAGCATCACTCTCTACCATATCTGTCTTGACCAAATCTGAGTTGTTGTATGTTCTTTATAAATTCAGTAAATGTACACTACGTATTATTTTAGTTACAGTGTTCATATCTTATTGTTTTACCTTTGAATTAGAGCTGTGCTTACAAATTTGTGAACCCTTTTAAATGTTCAATATTTCTACATAAATATCGACTAAAACACAATCTGTTCTCCATACCTCCTAAAACTAGATATAGAGAACCAAATTAAACTAATGGACCAAAAATATTGCACTTGTTCATTGCTTTATTGCTTTAGATCGAACTATATTGCATAACCATCAACCTATTTCCAGCCTTGTGAATAAGTGGTAGGATGGCAATTGCAAAGGAACTTAGAGAAAGTACTACCTTACCCTTTCCAGTAAGGATTCAGGCCTGGGCAATGGACAAGAATTACACTGGTAATTCTTACATCAAGATATGGATGGGAAGAGCATGATAGTATTAGTCTTAATGGATTTGCTGAGGACCTTCAGTATCATCAATCATGCTATATTTTTGGACTACTAGCAAACATTCAGAATCGGGGATACCATTCAACAGTGATTCCACTCCCTCCAGAACTGATAGTTCCAGTCATACATAGGGGAAGTTGCAAAACCTATGACAGTCTGTTAAACGGTGTCTACAGGGTCTGACTCTTCCCCACTTGACCATTTGGGGTAAAATATCATCAATACACTGTTGACACACAGCTTGGTGGAAAACTTGACGCTATAAGGATTTAGATGGTTAATAAAAAAAAACAGATTCAGGCTTAATTCTGACAAGACTGAATGACTGCTGGTTTGGAGGCCATCATCTTTAGCTCTTTGTAGTCTGTACTCCCCAGAAACAGCTGGTATGTAATTCTGGGGTTTTCTTGGATTTTTATCTTCTGCTGAAACAGCAGATGAAAGCTAATTTCATTCAGGTATTCCTGGAATATAAGACACATGCAAGGTCACGTGCCCTTGTCACATGTTTGGACTACTGTAATGCATTTTACATGGGACTGTCCTTAAAAACCATCAAGAAACTGCAGTTAATGCAGAATTGTAGTTGCCCACATACTAACTGAAAATATATGGTATGGTATGTAAAACCAATATTGTAGAGCTGAATTGCTGGTATTTGCTTTCAAAATATATCTCCAAATACTAGTTATCAAAGTTGAAGCCCTACATGGCTTGGACCCTCATTATCTACAAAATTTCTTACTTCAAATAGTAACATATTGCACACCAAATATGTGACTGCCAAGAATGCTTGTTGAGAAGGCACACTTCTCATAAAGGTAAACATCTCTGCAAAACCCTACTGTGGAACACCACTTTGAGATTTAATATCTGCACTCTCACTTTTAACATTTAGTAAACTTCTGAAAACCTAGTTGTTCATAAGATATTTGAGATAGTAAAGTGTGTTGTCACACTGCTGCTAAATTATGTCATCAGTATAATCAATGGGTTACTATGACACTATTTTATTACACTGAATGTATAATAATACTATTTCAAAGATACTAGTCTATACCACTCAGAGACATATGACTGAAGCAGTGTAAAAATTCAAAATAATTTAACAAACAAAACAAAACAAAAAATAAAAATATTTTTAAAAATCAATTAGAGCTTTATATAACCATACACAAAACCTCTAAAAAAATATATTCTCTCACTTATACCATGTAAATTTCGTTTTCTTGCTGGATGCATCATACTATTAATAAAATCCTTTATTTGCAAAATGAAAACTTTGCTAACATTTGCAGTTCTTGCACCTGAATGAAAATTAGTTCCCATTACATTGTTATGAAATAATCACTTCTGGTAGCTAAGGAACAAGGCTAGAACCTGGGAAAGTTCCAGTTATGCCTTAGGTACGAAACAAGCTGGGTGACCCATCATTCTCTCTGAGCCTTAAGAAGCAGGCATGGCAAGCCACTTCCTAAATCTTGCCAAAAAACCTTGCAGGGATTAGTCCAGGCAGTTACCAGGAGTCAACACTGACTCAAAAGGACCAAAAAAGAGAAAAGTTGTGAACACTATGAGGTTGAAATACTTCTCACATTATTCGACTTTATATCATTCAACCTCCATCAAAAGTTAATGTATTTTAAGAAAGTCTCTGAAAAATGTTTCTTCAATTTTAACACTAGCCTAAATATTAATCTTGGCTGTAAAACCATCTTTTATTTCTTAGTATTATAGAAAGGAAGGATTAAATCTACCTTGAGAGATTAGTATGTTCTCAGTTTATAAGTGTCTAAAAGCTCAAAGGGACTGAAAAATGTATTTCACAATACATATGGTGGACCCTAACAAGCCAAGCAATAATACAGTCTGACATTTTAAGCATATTTGAAATCTTGCTGCTGATGAAATAAAACCCTATGAACTTGTTAGCTTCTAATATATTGAGCATTAAAAGGAGGTTTCATATAACGCCAGATAAAATGGATATGCAAACATGTTTTATTTCAAAATGTTTTGAATATGACATGTTGCAAAACATCCTACATCTGAGCTATTTCAAGTATTTTCTGAAAGCTTGTTGAGTTGCCAAAATCATGAAGCTACCAGATCATTTCAAGAAATCTTTAGGCTCAGAATATCCTGCCCACTCCACCAATTAAAGAACAAATTCCTGTTGGCATTTTGATATGTTGTCATTATTGTTTGCCAGTTAATCAATACATGTTTGTGTGTCTTTATTTTAAATGTGCCTACATCCCTGCCATTACTTTTAACTGAAGACAACTTCCTTATTGTGTGTTAATGCAATTTACATTACTTACATGTTCATTCCTGGCATTCCAGGGCCACCTAAAGCATTCAGTGGGGGTCTCATTGCACCTCCATAGTTCTGCAATGATAACCAAGGGTCAGACTACCACAAAACAAAAAAACAAAACCAAAGAGGAGGGGGGAAAAAAAAGGACAGCAGGTTAATGACTTCCCTACACATCTGCTAATTGGATCGGCCAGTGTCATTCATTGTTAGGTTTTTAACTGCTCAATTTATAAACAATTATTATTTCTATACTCCCTCTGATTTAAAAAAAACCTATTTAGCGTTTTCTTCTGACCTTATTATCTTATCAAAGGAAGTAAACACATTTAATTGATTAATGAAGAGTATACCATTTATAATAGCTAGCACAATTATCAGTGAATGGCAGGTTTTGCCATTCATGAATGCTGACTCAATATTCTAATATTAAGGGACTGGGTAATTTTAAAAACTAAGCTCTTAAGAATAAGCTGTTGTAATCAATAATAGATTTATTAACTTTAGCAATAGACATATGTACTTATACTATGTAAGAAGACTTATATTTTTACTTAAAAGCATTTTACAACAATGGACTGTTCAATAAACACACAAATGTTTATTGAACAGGGAAAACACACAAATGTTAATCTAGAAGTGCTGTATTTATATACAAAGATGCACTTTCAAATTAACTATCACATCAGCAACACAAACTAAATTTTCTACTAATTATTTGAAAAACTATACTCTTCACAGATCTGTCCATAATTATAACTTAGTCACTCTAAAATAAATATATCAGCTTAATTTAGTGAGTGTTATACATAAATTTTAGTTTTGGGAACTATAATTAGACTAGATTGTCTAAAACCATTAAAATAGTTCTTATTTCAGTTTCTGGAAGAAAACAATTTTGATAGTTCCACTATTAGAAATTTTAGTCATCACAATTTTATCTGATTAAAACAAATCTGAGGAAAAAGGTTATAAATATAAGTTTTCACAGAATGCTGCGGCTTTATTATTTTTATTTTTAAATTGCTGTTCTAAATTCTGTTGGCTGGATTTTGATCCTCTTCACAAATTAAGAGCAAGGTGAAATGGGAAAAATATTTTTAAAAATGAAAATCTGAGAAAGATTTTGGCCAGCGTAACTTAAAACAAGTATAGAGCCTTAAGAAGGTAGTCAACAGCTGTTAGGTAAACACCTGCCTAGCATGGAAAGGGAATGAGGAGGAAATAATAATCTTTTGTAGCATTTATTTCTTGACCTGGCCTACCTCAAAGGGATCTACAAAGGAAAATCTGTAAAATTATCCATTTGATGTCTTTCATGTTTTCTCTCTTCTCTCTTTCTAGTATCTCAAAATACTAGAAAGTATTTTGCATTTATTGGAGGAATATTTGTAATATAATATTGCAGTGTGATGTAATATTAACCAAAGAAATATTGGAAGCCCGATGCTTTATATAATGTTAGGTAACCTTAATTAAGGTGAGGTAAATTAATTTGTATATTTTAACCATATTTATTTCAATTAAATGTGATTAAAACATTTAAAAAATATTTTACAAAGAACAAATGGATGTAATGTAGTAAGTTATTGACAGAAATCTATTACAAGTGTATTGCCAAATTTGCTCCCAATATCAAACACACAATGCTTCTGTATGTTCTTATCAATTTATCAATCATAAATTTAATATATAAATGGGTTATGTAAAGAAGTTTATTTATTTATAAATTTATAAGCTCTGGCTAGCTTACAAGTGTACATGAACAAATAATTCTAAAATCATGTAACATTCTAAAGCAGTATTAAAATTAAATGTTCAGGCTTTAAACACCAAAACTGTATAAAGTTCTGCCAGTTTTTAAGGCTCTGTATTTTAACAGCAATTTATCTTTGATTTCTAACTAAAAGAAGCTGTGTGCATGTTCTCATCCTTGTTCACATCTTTCAGAGAAATTATGTACAATAACTTCAAATAGCGGAATATGTGTACTGTAAGAATACATCTCTTTGTTTCTTTCTCTCATAGAAAATTATGATAAATGTGATCATATGTAAGACAATTAGAGCTATATACCTGCGGGCCTAATGGGACCATTCCCCTAGGTGGAGTCATCCTCTGCATTGGTCCTCCCATATTTGGATGACCTAAAAGATTCATGAAAAAAAAATAGAAATACAATTTTAATTGTTTAATCAGATTGATTCAGATTATAAATGCATTTTAATCAGAGTGAAAATTTGTTTTTCCTATGGTTAAAATATTTTGTAAAAAGTGTATCAGATACGAACTCAATCAAGTTATTTTTCTTCCATTCAGATTCAAAGAGAATTCCTCTTCAAAGTTGATGTCTCCCATTCCTCTCATTTGGGTTTGCCTAAAAACATAGGACTTCCTCCCCACAACTTTATTTTAATTAAACTTAATTAATTTAATTAATTTAATTAATTTAGCAGAACAACATATTAGGAAAGCATTTATCCCTGCAACTCGTATTGGTGATAGACAGACAGATGACATTTCTTTTTGTTTAAGTAAAGCACATTTAGATATAGTAGTGCTGCAGAACATAAATTGAAGAGTTGTTCAATATGAATTTTGTCAACTAAATATATCATCTTGTACAAGAGGCCAAATAATGTGCAGCAGCAGGATGTATTTTAAATTATTTAAAACCTTTAATAAGAAAAAGACTAATAAATCTCATTAGGGTAAAAGGATCTTTAAGATAATCCTACCGCCCCACAATCAATAACATTTTACAAACATGAAAATCTATGATCTTGCATGATTCGGTGAAGACAGGAAAACAAACTTTGTGGGTCCCATCTGCTAAAGAGTTCAATCTAATGGGAACTAGATGATGTGTCTTTTCTGTTGTGGCTCCTGCTCTTTGAAACATCATTCCCCCCTGAGGTGAAGTCAATCCCATCCTTGTTAGCCTTTTGGAAGGACCTGCCACTTTGTAGATCCCATGGGAGTCTCCAAGATGGTTGTATTTTGCTGAGATGGTTGTTGTTGTTGTCTGCAAGCCTGCTTTTTATTTATTATCATTTATTGTTTTAAGTTTTTAATGGTTGCACATTGTTTTAATTGTTAGTTGCACACCACCCAGAGTCATGTCCAGTGAGATAGATGGCTATATAAGTTAGCTAAATAAATAAAACACGAATTACTTAAACAGAAATAATTGTTCCCTTTTATATTTAGATCATGAGAATAATAGCATGAATGCATTTCTTACAAAATTCTGGAAGCTGTTTCAATGTATTAACAAATGGAAGGTTGATGATAAAACTGTCATTTATTCAATTATTTCTATTATAATATTTCTATTAATAATTTTACCTTGCTGCCGTGTTGGATCCATCCCACTAGGCAATAATGGCTGACTTCCTGGGACACCTCCTAGTGCCTATTAAAAAGTTTTCAGAGAAATTTTCTACTTGAATATCATACTTAAACAACTTTTTAAAAGACACACAATCTATTTTCATTTTTTAAAAACCCTATAATTTCATCCTAAAAGAATGGGAATCTAAAATTACCTTCTTTTACAACTAATCCCAATTTATTTTGTATATTATTTTACCATAAAATCAAATTTAAATGTATGGTATTATAAAGACAGTAATTTATATACGGAATATGTTTACTTGCTGTAATATCTTTAGATATGATATCCTCATACAATAAACATTATGTCAAATATCTACATCATAAATGCAGTTTTTAAGACCTGCTGTTTTAAAAAAATGGGTAAAAGTTTGCCTTTCCCAGGTAAATGTTTCTTTGCATCCTGCAATTTACTGATTAAAAAACTGTTACCTGATTGGGTATCCTTAAAGGTGGCCTTGGGCCTCCTGGATATCGAGGAGACATGAAAGGCTACAAAACAGGAAAAAATGCAATAAAAATAGAGATACAAACCTAATCCAAAAGTAAACCACATACTGCTTTAGCTACATGATCATCTTTATTTTTTGATCAAAATACATTTTTTGCTAATGGTGATCTTGATCTGGAAACCTCTGAAGGCCTCGAAAGCCTTCTATTTATAGAAATATCAACACTCTGTACGTAACCGTCTGCATATTTTTGCCAAAGACAGAAATTTTCCTAAACAAGTCCATATATACTAGCTGTTATTATATATCACTTTCTCTTCTAACCCAGGAATTGTCCAGAGGATATTCAGAAATTGGGCAATTCTAAGAGCCTGAAAACTAGCCTCTGGGAACATTCATTCTGGTTGAGCCATGATAAGTGACCAAAACCAGGATTAAAGTCATTCAATTTTCAGAGCTCTTTTATCAAATGGCTGCTTTGTTGTTCAACTCAAACATGTACATACTGTTCATAAAACTAATTCACTGAAGAAAATCATGGTTCATTATTAGACATTTTAAAAATACAGGTAGTCCTCAACTTAGACTGGTTGCTTAGCAACCGTTCAAAGTTATGACGGAGCTCCCTGGTGGTATTTATGACCCAGTACTGAAGCTCTGATAGCAGCCCCTCCCTTCCCCCCATCACATGAACTCAAGTCTGGCACTCGACAACTATGCTGCATTTGTGGCCATTTGCAGCATCCCATAATCATGTGACTGTGTTTGATCTAAAATCAGCATTTAACTTCTGACTTTCGGCAAAATTGGTACATAGTGAAACATTGGTTCAATTAATGACCAGGCAATTGTTTTGTGATCTCAGCATTTGCTTAACAATCACAGCAAAAAGGTAAAATTTTTGTCACATGGATCAGAGGTCTCCAACCTTGGCAATTTTAAGCCTGGTGGACTTCAACACCCAGTTTTGCTGGTTGGGGAATTCTGGGAGTTGAAGTCCGCCAGGCTTAAAGTTTTCAAGGTTGGAGACCCCTGACATGGATGACTCGGTTTACAACCATTACAGTCTATGACTATCATGAGCAGACTCCATTACGGTTGGAGGTTGAAGACTTTACTTAAAAAATACCTTGCATAGCCAGAATTGAACAAATGATATTCTGCCACAATGCAATTCAAATACTTATTAGTTATTTAATAAGCTACAGACTTTGTGTTGTTGAGTAACATAGCAAAGTCACTTTTTTTGTATAAAAATAAGTTTAGAATCACATGGCTTGCTGTTTTGCATTTTCATTCCCCCCCCCCCGAATTACAGAAATGTAAATATAAAGGGAAAGCTCTAGTCACTATACAAGAAGAAAACTGAATCTTTTAAGCACAGTTTTGAAGGCCTGAAAGGAAAGTATTTCAGTTAAACAGCCAGCTTTTCTATACTAGTATTACACTATAGAAAGAGATACTATTAATAGCACAAAGTAAATTAAGGTAATCCAAAATTCAAATGGCTTTATAGGCTAAAGCTTGGAGAAAAAAATATTAATTTTATAACCATTCATTAATATTCAACTTTTTAAAACTCGAATAGTACAATAACAATAGCGGTACTACACTAGGAATTTATATTACCAATGTAATACCTTTGCTCTTTCTTTGTTTTTTATCCAATAATTTTATTAAGAATTATATTAAACAGAAAAATATATATAACCCCTAAACACAGTAAAATATATAGAAAGTGCAGAACCCCATTAAAAAAATAGGGAAAAATTAGGAAAATAGGAACAAGAAACTTCCCCCTTCATCTCCACCAAGTATATTCAACGTTAACATTTTATCACTGTCTCTTAAAATAAAACCAAATGCATCTTCATTTCACACCTCACCCCATTTTCTAATTCCTCAGCTCTATTTATTAATTAGCAAGTTTATTCTTTCTCTGGAATGCACAGCATAATATGTACAGTACTATAAAATCTGTTCTGTGGTTAAAAATGCAGAAAATGCAGTGGCCACAAGATGGCATTGTGCTCTTATAATCATTATACATTTTTATAGACTTTCACAAAAAACACTTATAAAATATGACTTTTAAATTCAACACCTATTTTTATATTTTGATTTGTAACTATAAGTGATAACTTTGCCAATTTGTAACTATATAACAAAATGGAACAAAAATATTATTCACATTAAGCAAACGCTTGATTTACTGGACTCATGGGAAGTAGAAAAGTCTGTTAGACCCGAATGTCCATTAAATTTGAATGGGATTTGAAGCATGCGGAAAATATATTGTATTTGGGTAAAATAGTTAATGGAGTTTACATATGAATAAAATGGCATTATGCCTATGAAATAGGAAAACAGATTTTATCTCTTGCAACTAACATCTAGCAAACTGAAGGTTATCATTTCATATTTTCTTATCCTGATATACCTTTCAGTCACTACTAGTTACTAATATAAGTAATTTATCAATATTTTATTTTGTAGATTTTTTTTACAAGATCATCCAGAATTAAATCTTTTTTAGTGTATCTCATATCAGGGAGGTGTTTTTTATTTTCTGGATGACTTGCCACTTATCTTTTTACATACATCTATGGGACTGATTCAATGCACCAGTGCTCAACTCATATATTTTAATTTTCCCTTAGTAAAATCCTCTGCTACATTCATTTTAGAAAATCTTATATGGCACCATGATCATCTAACAAATAAATAGAATATTCAAATCTTGTGAAGCGTAATTTATGCATGTAGAATATGCATAACGTACATTTATTTAAATGTACATAAATGTACATTTATTTCCTAACTGTAACAAATACAAATTAATTGCAACTGAGTAATGATAATTATTTGAATATATCTGTACATATAATTGTTACAGAAAGATCAAATGCCTGGAGTGCATGTAACTGTTTAGCAATTAGAAGCAGCAAAATTCATTTTGAACCTATTTTGATCTATATTCTACATTTAAAAAAAGTACTGGTTCTTCTGGTGTTTGTATCAATACACATTTTTAAAACTGGCTGAACATTATCATAAAGTTTTTTTTTTTTTTTTTACAATCAATGCATTTGTCAACTGCTTATTAAGTCAATTTCCCCCTATATTTCTTATCATATTTCAGGTTCACCACACATGTGTACAATTCTGCAATTTATTTTACTTTTGTTCACTTTATAAGATTGTTTTTTAAATAATGCCTTGGTTGCAGTCTTTGAAAGGACACTGGGTTTGTATACTTCCTTTTCTAATAACTTTCGGAAATTGCTTGTTAACTGCTTTTTGGCTATTAGGTGAATTGAAACCCCAGCTGAGTTTCCTTGAGCCCTTTGTGAAAGAAGTGTTAAATACAAATTTTAAGATCTAAAAAAAAATGTTTTTTTTTTTGAATAAGCAGAATACCATCTGCTCAGTTTAAACTTTCACTAAACATTCCATTTAATTTCATCCAGGTTTTACCTCCATCATATATCATTCTTATTACATTCAGCAATAAACATTAAATTCTACATGTATGCAAAGTAACATTCATATTTCAAGACTGTTTACTTTCTCATAGGCTCCCTCTAAGTGTAAATAATTTTTCCTTTACATTTCTCAATTACTTGATCAAAAATTTGGTTTGCACACCTCTTCGGTATAAAGCTGCATTATTGTATTTCCATAGCTTTTCTCATTCTAAGCTCTTAGACCCTTTCAATCAGAGTTCTGCTAAACACCTTTCCTGATGCTAATTGTTGGGGTTAGCACCAGGTTTTCTTTTCCCCCCAGTCTTGCTGCCTTTTCCTTTGTATAGGGAAATAATAATATTTTCTTTCTAATTTGCCCAGATGTGGTCTTTACACTTTAATCATACTGCTTAGCCACAAGTAAATTGCATCCATATTTCAACATTTTGCTAGTTAAGCTATCAACCTTCTTACAGGATTTATAATCCCCTCTTATCATTTTTCTTGCATAATATCGTTCTTTAATATATCATTGTCATACAACTTTCTTCCAGCATTCCTCCATTTCAGTTTTGTCCCAAATAATTTCATCATTCCTGTTTCGTACTCCATTCACTCTGCTGATGATTCCTTGTTTAGGCCTTTTCACCCCTCCTAAAACTATTTTTTAATTTTTAAAAAATCATACATATCACTATTGTAATTCTTTTTTTTAAACTTAACCATTCCTTGCTCTGTTTGACTATATACAACTATTTTTTTCTCGTATATATAGAGAATACATTTCTTGCGCTGACTCTAACCCAAATTAAAGGTTTACAGGGTCATAAAAAGGGACATGGATTTTTTTCTTATCCCTTAACTTTTTTTACTTCATCTGTGAACAAGAAGCCTTTCTCATATTTCCTATTAAGCACTCTGAGCAGTGGTGGGTTTCAAAAATTTTTACTACCGGTTCTGTGGGTGTGGCTTGGTGGGTGTGGCATGCCTTGGTGGGTGTGGCAGGGGAAGGATACTGTAAAATCTCCATTCCCTCCCCACTCCAGGGGAAGGTTACTGCAAAATCCCCATTTCCTCCAATCAGCTGGGACTTGGGATGCAGAGTAGATGGGGGCGGGGTCAGTCAGAATTTTTACTACTGGTTCTCCGAACTACTCTAAATTTCCACTACTGGTTCTCCAGAACTGGTCAGAACCTGCTGAAACCCACCTCTGACTCTGAGCCACAACCTGTGTTTATTCTGTAACATAACTCTTGTTACTCCATTTTAAGCAGCTTCCTTATTCTCTTTCTGCATGTTCCCATCCTATTTGTTCTGATAAGCAATAATCTATTACTTTTTAAAACGGGATTCATACTTTGTTTCCACTGCAACTGTTCTACTTTCACACTAATTACTGTTACTTCTCCCCCCCTTCCCACCCCAAGATCTATTCTCGAACCTACCAAAAGTGCTCTGTCCCAAGTTTTGCTTGACGCATTGTAAGCCGCCCTGAGTCTCCGGAGAAGGGCGGCATATAAATAAATAAATTAAAAAAAAAAGTTCACATTTGTAGGTATGAGTGGACTGATCCAAGTATTTGAAACAGAATCTTTGTTTTTAAGATAAAAGTTATTAAAAGTTTAAAAGAGAACATAATTTAATTCTGGCTGTGCACTGCCCTGAGTCCTCAAGGAGAAGGGCGGTATATAAATTGAAAATAAATTAAATTAAAATTAAAATAAACACTAACACGAAGATATTGAATAAAGAAATTGAAAGAGGAAAAAAAGAAAAAAAGTAAAGTACAGAAAGAAAGAATAAAAATAAATAGGAAGAAGTTTTTGAGTTCCTTTGCAGCAAATATGTAGGATTACAAAATTACCTTCTACTCTATAATTACAACAAAATTCACAACAAAACTCATCATCAAAATCATAAGCCTTAAATGCATTTTTTCTGTTTCATGCTAAAAAATCTGTAAGGGGTTTCCAATCAGCCATAAATGTAGATATTTTTCCTATTAAGAAAGTCAAGTTAATCATCTTTGCAGATTGTATCATCTTCCTCTATTACGGTGTCAAACTTTTCAACTTTTGAGACTACAGTAATCTTGCTTCAGTTGTCATATATAAAAAAACAAAGTCCCATAGCATTTTTTAGCTATCTGTCTATTAATCTGGTCTCAATTGTACATTAGTCAATTAATGTATTTATTTGTATCCAACTTTTTTTGGTTTTTCACATGTCTACCATAAATGATAAAGTTTTCCTTCATCTTGTTCACATTTCCAACAAAGATTCAAAGTACTTTTTAGACAACTTCTCTGGTGACAAATACCAACAATACATCATTTTATATAGCTTCTCTTTAAGGCTAGAACATAATGTAAATTTCAATCCTTTCAAATCTATCTTTTTCCATTGATCAATGGAATATTGTAGCTAATTTTAAAGCTCTCTTTAAATACATAACATTCTTTCACTTGTTCTTTTTCTGTTTCATATTTCAACAAGTTTATATATTTTAGCATTAACACGTTCATTCTTTGTACATAGTTCTATTTCAAACTTAGTCTTGCATTGTTGAAAAGCCTAAAACCTTTTATCCACTTTAAACCTTTCTGATAATTGTATACAAGAAAATCATTTTATAATCCCCATGAAAAAATATAGCACATTGTATTACTACATAATACCATTTATGTTTACTTATGATTTCTTGTCTATAGAATGCTTTTTGTGCTGAAATCCACAAAGGTATTTTTGGGCACAACCTAGATTTATATTTATTCCATGTTTTAAGAATGGCCTGCCTGATGTAATTAATTTTGACATCTACACTAACCTTATTATACCATAGATATCCATGCCATCCAAATCTCAGATCATGTCCTAACTGCCACAATCCATCTATTTCTTTAAAACTGAATATTTTTCAAAGCAGATATTCATCAAATAGACATTATTCCCATTCACTTTTTGCTCTACTAATGGCCCAATCGCTTTTTCCACATACTGTAATATCATTCTCACCCACCCTTTTTAAGTGTCTAAAAGAATAATATTTTCTACTGGATTTACTTCATTCAGTACATTGCAGAATGTTTCCACTGTCATCATTCTAAAATGTAACATACAACTATCATCATCTGTAATCTTCTACTACCATAAGCACCTACAACAATAAAGAAGACACCAATTCATAATTTTATCCCCTACATTTCAGCTATTCCATTTATAATTAAACCTACTTCTTCATTTCCTTGCAGTTATATGCCAATCCTATCTCATAGAATCAGACCACCTTCACTCAGATCAATTATATACTTCCCCCTTTTGTTAGGTTGGCAGATATTTAGCCTTTCCCACTCCTTTCTTTTCATATTATTTTTTTAACCTTTTACACTTTTACACTCAATTTGCATTCTTCCCAATTCCATGGCCATTACTAAATGGACCAGTGATATTGTCTTCCATTATTCATGACTTTTGGTAAGATAAAGAAGATATAAACTATGTTGTCAAGCCTAGTAAATACACATGTCATATGCAGCATTCCCAGATAATTATAACTTTTTGGCACATTGTAGTTAGTATTTATTTTATTCTTGAGATTTATAAGGCTACCCAACTGAAACAGAATTCTTTTTTCTGGGTGGCATGGAGAATAAAAGTATGCCATAAATATAGCCTCAGCTCAGATTTACTCCACACATATTTATACTAATGTATGCTAGCTCGGATTTCTATTCACTACTTTGCAAGTATTTTGCACATGAACCACCACCTAAAAGATATATGCATCAGACTGACACCTACCTACACAAGGAGACCTCTAGTACCTTTATGATTTCTATATCTTAGGTTCACTAAGAAGTTTATAATAACATCAATATATTCCACTCATACTTTTTTTACTCAGCCTTTAACACAATCTGGCACTTAGATGTGAGTACTTCTTAAAAATGATTAGTAATTCTTTAGCTAATTTTGGAATTTTTTATTAATTATTTTTACTTTTATGTTATAAAGAAGAAAATTAGAAAAGAACATAAAATAAAAAGAATACAGAATCATATATTCAAAATGCACTGAAAAATGTAAATGAGTTTTTTTTCAAGAGAAAAATTATTATAGATTTTTTTCCAAGAATCCAACAAATGGATATGTATATTCAACACAAGTACAAATAATTTTACCATACTTGATAGAGAAATTCAAGAACTCAATGCAATGTTACTGCTATGTATTATCATACATCCAAAATGAATTGAATCAATAAAAATAAAATTAATGGTAAATATAAATACATTTTTATCAACTAGGACACATATCACTCTGTGTTAGCTATGTATTTTTTAAAATAAAATTTTGCATAAGTCTAAAATATTTTTTTATATTCTGGGTAAAATGATCATGAATTTCATCAGGAATTTTTGAATTTAAGAAAAAGTGGAACCCTGGAGTTGTATGCAATAAAATGCTCTAGTTTTATGAATTGGGATAGGGTTAAAGACATATAAATGGCACCACGTCTGATTCTCTATGGGGAAGTCAAGATAGAGGCAAATCTTTTATCAGCAAAACACTGAGCAAAGCAATCACTTAAATAGGAGGTCTCCTGACTCATCTTTCCCTAAAATGAAATTTACTACTCTAAACAAGGCATCTGATTGGCACAATAGGGCAGGAAAAATAGTAACACTTTGTCTCCATTATCACTATAATGTAGAGTCAAAATGACTTGATGAAATTAACTTTTGGTCTTCAAACAGCACTCCACATATTGTTTCTAGTGTTCCATCTCCCAAAGCTCTTCAGTAAAGTAAGATTAAAATTAAGAATAGAAATGGGCTTGGGAGCAGGTTATCAAGAGCTCAGATTAACTCCTTTACCCAAAATTAATTAGGTCACCAACAGAAGTGCCTCTCAAACCACTGGAAAACTTATCGTCCAGAAACTGAATCCATCCGTTTCCATTTAGTACGTGGACAAGACGAACCCTGTATAGCTCCCAGATAGCATCTCATCCTAGGTTGACTAGGAAGTAATGTGACCACAGCACCAAGTTAAATGGTTCTGCATATTTAAATCATCACATAACTGCTTTGAGGCAAGTACAAGGTCAAATATATGACCATGAATTATTTGAGATAAACCTGTGGTTTTAAATACTGAGACTTTTTTTAATTCAAGAGAAGAAAACTGAAATCATCCAATACCAAAAGCAAGGAGATGATAAACAAACCTGTATTTGGATAAAAATCAAGGAGCCAGCTATGTAGCAGGATTGTCGGTGTGCCAGCTTCTGCCTGTAGCCCAAATTAATGTGTATGTGCTTATCCTTCAGCCATTCTGACTCTACTTTCAAATTCAAATATGTTGTCCTCCCAACCCTACAACCTGGGTGGGCACATCTCTAAAATGCTTGGATTGCCTAGCAGATCTCAGTAATACACACTAGGTATGTCTGTTGTGAATGTTGTGAATTAAGCTGTGAATGAGCACAGTCTCTCTCTCTCTCTCTCTCTCTCTCTCTCTCTCTCTCTCTCTCTCTCTCTCTCTCTCTCTCTCACACACACACACACACACACACACACACACACACACACCTCACACATAACACACACACAAAATCTATATGTACTGTATATCTATATTTTCACTATCCTGAGTAACAGTTTTTATCCACAAAAGCTAATACAATTCCATTCATTTGGCTTTGTTTTACCACTTAGTGAAACATAATATAATTTGGTTCCCAAATTAATGCTTTCATCACTTAACATAATTTGACATACAAGTAGTCCTCGATTTGCTCATCTTTTAATGATGACCTGAGGTGACAACAGCCTTGGAAATGGTGCTTTATGGCCTTCCAACAATCTCACTGTCACATGATTTCAATTCAGGTGCTTGGCAACCAGCTCACGTTTATATGGTCACGATTTCTGATTACAAATTGCTAGTTTGAACTTGCCTAGCAGCATTAAGCTACTATTTGCTGTAGCATATATCTTTAATAAAGAATTAAACTAATACAATTGAACTTAAGACTCTACTAGACAAAGTAGCAAAGCAAGCAACCAATTTCTTCTATTATACAACTTCACCTGTGGCCCATTTAAATTAAGTTATCATTGCGCATTTAACATTTTATCGTAGATTTTAAGTTTGCACTGCTGATATAAATAGCATAAACTTATTTTCTACTGATAAAATCCATAGTAACACCCTATTCTATCCCAAACGTTTAAATACGGTGCATTTTATTCATGGAAGAAATGGTGTACTTTCATGGCAGTGCCAAAAACTGCTACTTTCTCTTTTCTAAGTTCTGAAAGCCCTATAATCATTTTTTTCTGAATACCTGAAAAAACCCCGGTGGAACAGGACCTACTGGCATGCCATCTCCTGGGGGAATGTTTCCTAGCACTGGACTGGGAGCTGCTGCAGCGCTCTGAAAAGAACAAAGGAAAAATAAACCTTTGTCATTGCACACAATAGGCATAAAACCAAAATATTACTTTGACCATAGTGTGGCAAGGCAGAAAGGAACACTCTCTGCATGACAGATTTAATTTTTTCTTCCATTTAAAATAATTAGTGCTCATTTTCAAAGTGCAGAAGTGAAACACTTAAATACAAACGTAGATTTCTTTAATAAATGACTGCCTTACACTCACAATTGAAAGGGAAACTCAGGGATCAGGAACTTCATTTAGTTTAAACAAAGACTTGTAAATTGTGCATTTACAAAAGGTTCTATTACACCTCAGTCCAATAGGCAACTTCCGATCAGAAAAGTAGCATGTCAGCTAATCAGCTAATATTCAAAACAAAACATTATGAAAGAATTCAGTTGTAAATACACTAACACAATTCTATAACTAAATACATAGTATCGGTGCAATTTTATAATCTATTACGAAACAGTCTCCTTAAAATGATAATGAACTTTATATATGTAGAATGATGCTTTAAGTGACCAAATTAAATATGATAAATGATGCAAACAGTTGCAGTATGAAATTGGGAGCCATATTTAGTTATTTTTCTTATTTCACTCTGGTGCTAATAACAACCTGGGAGACAGGAATTAAATCAAGAAAAGAGTACATATCTAATGAAAAAGGACTATATTTATCCTACACTACTTTTCAAGTAAAAGGTGGAAGATCCAATCTTAGTCTTCCACATAACAGCTTTCAGTCCTAAAGCTGGGATTCTCAAACTTGTTTGCACTGTGAATCCAACAAAAGTTGGGATGATGCCTATGCTGATGGTAATTCAAGATCAGATGGAAGACTAAAAACCTTTTCTAATCCCCTTCCTCTTTGCATTACAATCTAGAATCATCCCAAGCAGCTGGTTGGGGATGATGGGAACTGTTGCTGCTGAAGCCTGGCTTTTGGGGAGGCTGGCTCATCTCTGATGGCTTTTCACTTGGGAAGGTCAGCCCTGTGTGGGAGCTTACATTGAATGTTCTTCTCCACTCTGCATAATTACCCCTGATGAGCAAGTAGCTGGGATTTCTGTATTTCTGGGAGAAGTACCTCCCTGCTAAGTACCTGCTTTGGAAATTTGGGCTCCCTTAACAAAAGCTTTGCAGACAAGATGGTAAAAGTGAAGGGGATGGGAAATCATTTTAAAGGGAAAGGAGAAAGGCAGGAGGAAAAGAAAATAACAGCAATAACCTAAGGATAGTGAAGCACTTGTGGAAATTATCTACTTGTTTTCTATGGTGCTCACAATTTGATTCTCTAGTCAGTCCTTTAGTAGATTCAAAACATGATGACCCGCCAGCTGTGATAACCCTCTTGGAATCTATCGGATTGTGACACACAGCTTCAGCAGCCTGTGTGGCTGCTGAAGAAGTATTGGAGGAAGAGGCTGGTATTGAATTGCTAAACCAGGAGTGGAGAATGAGACTTCTTCCAATTTGCTAAATATATATATAGCTATCCTCTGATGTGATAACTTTTGATCAGAATCTGTTTGCTGCTCTTGCCAGTTGTCAGCCAATGATGGCAGAAGAAGCCAAGTGAGAGTGTCCTGTTAGTACCAGCAGTTATTCAATGTAGTGTGCTTAGTGACATTCTCTGTTCTCAATTCTGAGAGGGGGAATCACCTTCATCTGGGCTTGTACTAGGGGTGAAATGCTCCCAGTTCGGACCGGATCACCTGATCCGGTAGTGATGGTGGTGGGTGGTTCGGAGAACCAGTAGTAAAAATCCCTGTGCCCTCTCCCCCCATGCCCAGCTGAGCCGCACGATCATCAGAGGCGCTTTTTTTTTAACTTTTAAAAGCATTTTTTCTACAACCTCTTCGGCCAAAAAAATGCTTTTAAAAGTAAAAAAAAAAAGCCTCTGATGATCGCACAGCTCAGCTGGGATCTTCAGAGGCTTTTAAAAGCATTTTTTCTACAACCTCTTCGGCCAAAGAGGTTGTAGAAAAAAATGCTTTTAAAAGTAAAAAAAAAAAAAAAAGTTGCCCACCCAGTCACATTACCTCCCCCTCACCAAGCCACGCCCACAGAACCGGTAGAAAAAAATTTACATTTCACCACTGGCTTGTACCTCTCTCTCTTGTCAGCTCTGTGCTAGGTGCAGCACAGATTCTTTCTATCCGCCATCTCCAGAAGTTAGACCTCTATGCTCAAGTTTCCTTCTGGCATTTTAAAAAATATTCTGGCCCCCAAAAATGTATGAGCCCTCTCAAATTAGCTTGTAGCCTCCAAGGGAGTCATAGGCTATAGTATGAAAATTCTCATCCTAAGGCATTCTCTTTTATAGGAAGTTAACATATGTTATAATACAACTAAATTTAGATTATCCTGAATTAATGCAAAACAGCAGCTGCAGAAGGAAATAAATTAACATGCTGATCGTTGATTAGATAACAGGCTAAGATGAAGCCTTTATCATAATTTTCTTCCAAAGTATGGAACTTTGAATGTGCATTAAAATTGAAAGCATGCAGAACACTACTTTTGTTTTTGTTTCCTATACAATTTGGATTCTTCCTTTTGGCAAATGTACAGCTACTTATATTAAAAGTTACAAAAAGCTTTGAAATAAAATTGCTCAAAAACAAATTGATATTATGGATTTGTATATAAAAAATGTTAATCTTTGAAAGAAAATATATTCCATAATTAAGTGAACCAGAGATGAAATACACTAATTTTTGACACCTTTCAAACTAGGTAGGCAGGAAATATAGCTCCTCTATTGCAATAAATAAATTGCTATTTCTTCCAGATATTCATATTACCATTACATCTAGATTTATACAAGTCTTTCTAACAGCACTATATTTTGGTGCTGTATTTGGTCTGAAAAGATTTCTAACATCATACTCTTATGAGGTCAGAGGATTTACTTATTATAAATGAACTATAACTTCCCATGGAATAGAATTGGCCACTGGGTGTCACTTTTGTACCCAATATATAAAGTTCATTTTGAATTAATTGAGTTTTAAGCATAATACCCGCTTAAGGAACCCTACTACATAAATTTGAACATGTAAAACTAAATTTCACTATGGTGACACAAGGTGATGCTGTTTTACTATAGACTTACAAAAATAGGGGTGAAAACAGGAAGTTTAGATTGCAAACATTTCTGTTTTTGCTGATGAATACAGTTTAGTCACATATTTAACTGCTACATTAAAAATTAGAACTAGAGCTATAGTGATATGAATCTGCATGTATGTCTGTACAGACAAGCACACAATAGTAGGTAACAAACTAACATTCTATCCATTTTAACAGTATCTATGTGATTATATAAAATAAATACAATTATACATAAAATGAAAAGATGTTAACTAGAAACTTCTTTCAATGTGCCTCAAATAAATTATAAAATATTGGTGAAATTCCCAAAATAATTTTTTCTTTAAAGATCCAAATTAGTTATAAAAATAATATTTAAAGTAATTATATGTGGACTTCCATGTAGTGCAGGGGTGTCAAACTTGATTTCATTGCAGGCCACATCAGGATTGTGCTTGACCTCAGGGGACTGGAGTGGGCATAGCCAGCTCAATGTCACTTGTGTCGGGGGCGCCTGTGGTGGCTGGAGTGCTCTGCCAGCAAAAACGGCTCCTGAACTCCATTTAGGGGTGCGACGGCCTCCTGCAATGGAGGAGCTCGCGAGGGCCGCATGGGGTCCTCCCAAACTCAGTTTTTGCTGCCAGAGGCACTGCGAGCCGGTCCTTTGCTGTTTCCAGAGTGGCCCCACAGGCCAGCTCTAAGCACCCCGCGGCCGGAACCGGCCCGCGGGCCTTGAATTTAATACCCCTGATGTAGTGCATTAAACATAATTTAGTTTTAAAAATCATTTCTCAGTGCCGTCTTTTCCTGTAAGGCTTCTTACTTCTATTGCCGATTAAACATGTCTTCCTGTCACAGTTTATGAAGTTGAAGCATCGTCATAGTTTACTGCTAATTGCATACATCATCCATTAATTATGATGCAAAAGTAAAATTTTATGTTTATCTGTAATCTAGAGCAGGGGTGAAAAACTGGCGGCCCACAGGCCGGATGCATCATGCGCAGACCATGCCCACCCTAGCTTCACAAAGGCAAAAACTGTCGGAATACGTCACGTGATGTGATCGAGTATGACATCCATGATCTAGAGGTTTATTTAACCCTCTAGACAGTTTACAATTCAATTACAATTCTAGAAAAGTTGCATACTATGAGTTATAGTTATATATTATACATCCCAAAACTGATTGACTATACTTAGTAGTTTCCTACTTCTCAACCTACAGTATTGCAACAGTTCTTAATTTTATAATCTGAGAAATACTACTCAGCAATTTGCATTGTTTAAAAAAATTGATTTTTTGGAGTCTGTTTCCTATGTCAGCTAATGTGACATATTAAAAATATAGACTTCATTATAGTGCATGAGACAGCAACAAGGCAATGGATTGGGCGTTGACTTACCTGAACGCCCCTTCTGGGGGCTGGGAAGACAGCGGTCAGGAAAGGGTTATCTGCTGCAATCCAGCGAAGATCGGGTCAGGAAAGTTGATAAGCTCCTCCTCCTGTCGCTTGCCAGCTTTCGGACGAGGAATGTGATGTTTCCCTGACAACGCACTAGCCCACCTGAAATTAATGAAAAGAGAAAGTGGACCAGCCAAGACGAACCGGCGGGGCAAAGGGCGGGGCTGACCGCTGTCTTCCCAGCCCCCAGAAGGGGCGTTCAGGTAAGTCAACGCCCATTCTAGGGAAGCGGGGAAGACAGCGGTCAGGAAAGGGACGTGCCAAAGCCCGAGAACTATAGGGAGGGACCCGCCCGGGACGTAGAGGCCTGGTCCGCACACACCTGTTGGAGAACCCGGCGGCCGAATGCCGCCTCCGCCGAAGCGAAAGTATCGATCTTATAGTGGCGGATAAAGGGAGTGGCAGAAGCCCAGGTGGCTGCCCGGCAGAT